GTATTGTTTATAGCTAGCACCCCAAACTTGTATTATGTATAACTAGCACACCAAACTTGTATTATGTATGGCTAGCACACCAAACTTGTATTATGTATGTCTAGCACACCAAACTTGTATTATGTATGGCTAGCACCCCAAACTTGTATTATGTATGTCTAGCACACCAAACTTGTATCATGTATGTCTAGCACACCAAACTTGTATTATGTATGGCTAGCACACCAAACTTGTATTATGTATAACTAGCACACCGAACTTGTATTATTTATAGCTAGCACCCCAAACTTGTATTATGTATGGCTAGCACACCAAACTTGTATTATGTATGGCTAGCACCCTAAACTTGTATTATGTATAACTAGCACACCAAACTTGTATTATGTATGGCTAGCACCCCAAACTTGTATTATGTATAACTAGCACACCAAACTTGTATTATGTATGGCTAGCACACCAAACTTGTATTATGTATGTCTAGCACACCAAACTTGTATTATGTATGGCTAGCACCCCAAACTTGTATTATGTATGTCTAGCACACCAAACTTGTATCATGTATAGCTAGCACATCAAACTTGTAATATGTATGGCTAGCACCCCAAACTTGTATTATGTATGGCTAGCACACCAAACTTGTATTATGTATGGCTAGCATTCCAAACTTGTATTATGTATAGCTAGCACACCAAACTTGTATTATATATGGCTAGCACACCAAACTTGTATTATATATGTGTTAGCTCTTGTCCCTTTCCCCCCCTCCCCCCTTCCAGCGTGTCTATAGTGCGGATTGAATCTAATTAGCATGTCAGATTAGTGACGAGGCAGGAAGGCATTGTTTGTGCCCCTCCCCCTCTCGGATGACCCCATGTCTATCAGGGGGGGGGGGGGGGGGGAATGCAGCGGTGGGGGATCAGGACCGATAAGACGGCCGATGCGTTAGGTAGAGTCAGAAAGGAGACGATTTGTTTGGTGTGGCTAGGAGAGAACTTTTTATACGTAAGTGTGAGACATTTTTAGCGCAATTTCCATACGGACTATTGCGATTATTAACTCGTTCTGGATGGATGTGTGTCCGATGTGTGTTCGATGTGCGTCCGCAGCTTTAAGTCGTATCTCCTCCTCAACGAAGCAATATCGAGGACTAGTTCCAAAAGCAAATATGTTAAGCAAGTTCCAAGAATGATTGTAAGCCAAAAAAAAATCCCGGAATTCCTTCCTGGATTTCCCGGAAAAGCCAAAAAACCTCGAAAAAATGCTGTTTTTGGCCTATATCTCGGCAACCAGACCACTTAGCGACTTGAAACATTTACCAATCGATTCCTGTCATAATTTAAAACAATTTTGCCGAAGAAAGTTTTCAAAAATATCCTTTCGTTCGGTCACAAAAAAATAATTAAGGAAATTGCGCTTAAATTGTCACTAGACTTTTTATTAACTTGTTTTTATTATTATACAATCTGTCAAACGGTTGATATCTTTAGGTAATACTGGTATTACTGTTGTCAGAAAGTTTTGATTATATCATCAGATCTATGTACCAAATAATTAGATATAATTTAGGCATTAGCCTTAAAGAACCGCCTAGTTTTAATGTACCTACGTTTTATTCGGCCGTGTGGCCTGTTAGAATTCCAGAATACACGTTACTGCATATTAAGTTAGACCTGTTCTAATTGTATTGTTCTGTTAAAGCATAAATTGCTGTCGGCCTATTTTGGTTGGGTTTTTTATTTGGATTGACTAATTATTTTGGTTTATTTTTGTTCGAGTTAAGTTTTACATTTTAGTTAATTCTTGTGTAGGTTTATTTTACTTTAGTTGTGGAATAAAGTACCTCATAGTTATCCGACATGGCTTTATCTTTTCTTAGTCTAGTTTAGTTTGGTTTGTTTAGGTTTAATCAAACCCCTTTGACAACGAAGGGCACGGATGAGTGAATGCAGTGGCGTGGCGAGTTCGGGTGTCACCCGGTGCGGTCCGCCCCCCCCCCCGCCCCCCCCCCCTCGCTACGCCCCTGAGTGAATGAGATTACCTCTCGGTTCTCCCCTTACATATGGCTAGCACACCAAACTTGTATTATGTATAGCTAGCACACCAAACTTGTATTATGTATGGCTAGCACCCCAAACGTGTATTATGTATGGCTAGAACCGCAAACTTGTATTATGTATGGCTAGCACCCCAAACTTGTATTATGTATGGCTCGCACCCCAAACTTGTATTATGTATGGCTAACACCCCAACTAGTTATAGCTAGCACCCCAAACTTGTATTATGTATGTCTAGCACCCCAAACTTGTATTATGTATAGCTAGCACCCCAAACTTGTATTATGTATGGCTAGCACACCAAACTTGTATTATGTATGGCTAACACCCTAAACTTGTATTATGTATGGTTAGCACACCAAACTTGTATTATGTATGGCTAACACCCCAAACTTGTATTATGTATGGTTAGCACACCAAACTTGTATTATGTATGGCTAACACCCCAAACTTGTATTATGTATGGTTAGCACACCAAACTTGTATTATGTATGGCTAGCACACCAAACTTGTATTATGTATGGTTAGCACACCAAACGTGTATTATGTATGGCTAGCACACCAAACTTGTATTATGTATGGCTAGCACACCAAACTTGTATTATGTATGGCTAGCACCCTAAACTTGTATTATGTATGGCTAGCACACCAAACTTGTATTATGTATGGCTAGCGTCCCAAACTTGTATTATGAATGGCTAGCACACCAAACTTGTATTATGTATGGCTAGCAAGCCAAACTTGTAATATGTATGGCTAGCAAACCAAAATTGTGTTATGTATGGCTAGCACACCAAACTTGTATTATGTATGGTTAGCACACCAAACTTGTATTTTGTATGGCTAACACCCCAAACTTGTATTATGTATGGTTAGCACACCAAACTTGTATTATGTATGGCTAGCACACCAAACTTGTATTATGTATGGTTAGCACACCAAACTTGTATTATGTATGGCTAGCACACCAAACTTGTATTATGTATGGCTAGCACACCAAACTTGTATTATGTATGGCTAGCACCCTAAACTTGTATTATGTATTGCTAGCACACCAAACTTGTATTATGTATGGCTAGCGTCCCAAACTTGTATTATGAATGGCTAGCACACCAAACTTGTATTATGTATGGCTAGCAAGCCAAACTTGTAATATATATGGCTAGCAAACCAAAATTGTGTTATGTATGGCTAGCACACCAAACTTGTATTATGTATGTCTAGCACACCAAACTTGTATTATGTATAGCTAGCACCTCAAACTTGTATTATGTATGGCTAGCATTCCAAACTTGTATTATGTATGGCTAGCAGACCAAATTTGTATTATGTATGGCTAGCACACCAAACTTGTATTATGTATGGCTAGCACACCAAACTTGTATTATGTATGTCTAGCACACCAAACTTGTATTATGTATGGCTAGCAAACCAAACTTGTATTATGTATAGCTAGCACCCCAAACTTGTATTATGTATGGCTAGCACGACCAAACTTGTATTATGTATGGCTAACACCCCAAACTTGTATTATTTATAGCTAACACCCCAACTTGTTTCCATAGTCTATCCAGACTGCCGCACGAATGGCAGCAATGAGGTATTAAGGTGCCTGAAACAGCAGGACCAAACTTGTCTTAAAGGTAGTTGGATACAACCAGGATCTTATTCATGTCAACGAAGTGAACTGCAATTTTACAACCGTCGGACGTCTATGTAGTAATTATCTCTACATCTCCATTTACATATTCCCATTACTTTTGATTTTTCTGCGTTTATTTTGCCACCGATTCCTTTCCCAAAGTTGTTACATTTTGCTATTACTTTCTGTATTGCTTTTTCTGTTTGTACTAAGAAAGTAGTGTCGTCTGCGCAGGGGCGTAGCGAGGGGGGGGGGGGGCGGGGTGCGGATCGCACCGGGTGACACCATTTACGGGGTGACACCAAGGCAAAAAAGAACAAAATATATAGAGAAAAACTTGAGGAAGGGGTGCAAATCGAAAGTTTTAGGGGGGGGGGGGGTGCAAATCGAAAACTTGAGGGGGGGGGGTGCAAATCGAAAGTTTGAGGGGGGTACAAATCGAAATCTTGAAAGTTTGTCCCCGGGAAGGGTCGCTATGCCTCTGGGGGGGGGGTGACACCATTAAGTGCCGCACCGGGTGACACCCGACCTCGCTACGCCACTGCGTCTGCGTATGCAAGTATTTTCTTGCTAACCGTTTGGAATGTACAGTCCTTTAATCGAGTTGTCCTTCCTAATGTTTTTAGTAGCGGTTCTAAGCTAAGGATGTATAGTAGGGGAGATAAAAGACAACCTGGTCTAACTGATTTCTGTATGTGAAATGCGTTTGTAACACTGTTGTTTATTAATAAACGACTGTGTGCCTTGTTGTATATTTTTTATCCATGTTTTAAAATTGAGTCCTAAGTTGTAAGCATCTATTCTGTTTTCAACCATGTATAATCTACTCTATCAAAAGCTTTCTGTTGGTCGATACTAAGATTTGTTTCTATCATTATTTTATACTCTCTGTTGAGTAAAGATATAGGTCTGTAATTTATAAATTTTGTTTTATCCGTATCATGTTCAAAAATGGGGTGTTAATATATGCTTTGTTAAAATCTGTAGTAAAATCCTCTCTTTTATATGTGTTTTGAAATGTAGCTTAACACAAACTATAAATTATAATATATAGTAATGATCTAGCTTTAATGTATACATGTTTTTCGTGTTATTAATGACAATTTATAAAATGCAAAAGTATTTAAAATGCTATAACAAACTATAAAATATAAACGATTATATTAACGCTAGGACAAGCTTTAAAATACAAACGTTTATTTTAACTGTATCGATCGTTAAAAGTCGATGCCGAACAGCGGCTTAGCGGGCAGATTAGGCTTAACGATACACGACGATTAGCGGCTAGAGTCTGCCCACGAGTTATCCTCCCTGAAAAATTTCGCATTGTTATTTAAAAATTGTTCACTTCAACTACGTTCATGATTTCAAGCAACGTACACTATTTGAGTTTTCAGATTGTATTTTCCAAGGAGATTGTAACTATAATTGTTTACCAAATGTACTTTTCGTGTAAGTGTAGTTACGAGGGTTTTAGAAAAAGTAAAATAAATTAATGGGCAGACGCCTGAAGAAATTTCAAATGCATTCTGTGTGATGTAGCATAAAGTGTTATTAATGTATTTGTATTTTAATGCTAATGCAAGTTGTTAAAATAAATAATATTTAAAAAAAATTATGGTGATTATTTCAAATAGATGTGACAAACGTAAAATTATCGTGAAATTTTCATAAAGAAATCAAATCAATAATAAGTGGAATATATGCATTCTTCGAGGCTGTTCTTCGTGATTTATGATTGTTAATTAATTGTTAATTGATTGGTAGTTTATTGTTAATTGATTGTTAATTGATTGTTAATTAACACAAAGAAAAAACCTACATGGGTTTTAGCTGAATGTGGATTACTGTACCATAAAATATGAGACCACATTGCCGGCTGTTTCGCGCGTTGATGGTGCTGGCTGTGGTATGGAGTGGTGCGATGCTGTTTTCCCTGTACGCTGGTGTCATGGAGATTGCCCAAACCGGCGGGGAGAACCAGGCAAATTTCCCGGGGGGAGTTCTCAGGGAGGTGACAGAAACGAGCAATGTCACGGCGGAGAAGATTGCTCAGTTACTGGCGGATGATATGCTCATTGCCGAGGTAAGGTGGCCATTTTGGTTTTACCTGTCAATTTTTAAACTCTAGTCTTACAGTTCCAGTAAGTGTTTCTTTCAAACTTTCCACAGAGGGGAGGGAAACACTTGTTTTCGGAGGGGGTGGGTGGGTGGGGGAGGGGTGGAGGAGGGGGGGGGGGCTACGCTGGTAAAATTATCTACATTTTCTAAATATTTTCTTCTTCTATTTCGTCCGTGTAAGAGGGGGGGGGGGGGGGGGGGCGGTGGATTTGCTTTAGAGAGAGGCGGGGGGGGGGGAACAGGAAAGGGGGTATTGAAAGAAACTTTAGTTCACATGTAGTTTGATTTCAATATACTTTCGATAGCAAAACGAAACTAAAAACGTTATTTTTGATACAGCCAATCAAAAGATTGATGTCCCTTTGGTGCGCGCTTTCCCTTTCCACGTCAGCATGACGTCATCTTATTGACGTTCTAGCTTGAAGCTCTATCATTGTCGTTGTATAAAGAAGACGATAATATAAAAGACGTTATATTTAATGACTTGTTTTGACTGAAGAATGTCGACACTTCTAAAAATACTCGATGTTATATTCCGCGCTCAACTTACTGGTCAGCGTTTTTTTTTCTTAGACCAACGTTTGACCACTGTGCCGTGTTTATATTGTGGAAAGTGAGTACTCATGTAGTGGACACTACAGCCTCCCACCCTCTCACAACTTCAGGTATCTTAGTCCCCACAACAAAGATTCCAAACCTGTCTCCAACCACTCTTCAACTTTATCTTCACATCACAGTGTCTTAAAGACATCACTAAGTAATAAAATAGCAGTCCATTTAGATTTACTCATACAAAATTTTACATATATTTTTAACCTCTGAGACACCCCCCCCCCCCATCCCATCCCAACAAACTCTCCCTCCTCTAAGCTCACCCGCCCCTCCATGTTGAATTAATAGCTACGTCATCTAACACCACATCAAAAAGTTTGACTTTACTCCAGAAAAGAAACGACTCAAATACATGAGCCTTTAACTCCACAAAATCACACAGCTCTATTGTTTTTCTTTTCACTGATAAGACGCACAATTAATATTTTCCATTTTTCACGTGTAAACTAATCTTAAAAGCTTTGATAAAAAAAATTGCCGCAATAATTTACCTCAATCTGCTAGCGATGACAAACCGATCTCTAGCAAATCTAGATGTAAACAAACCGTGATTACAGCTCACTAGCATGAGGCCCCTTATCTGATAAAAGCCCGTATATCAGTTATCAACATCAGCCACGCTAATTTCAGGTCCGATAACTATAACGTTTAAACATTTAGAATCGACAAAGGCTTAACTTTTGTGTACTCTCATCCCCCCCCCCCCCCTTTACCGCCATCCTTTCTCCCTGATAATGTTTATTAAATGAAATATGCAAATGCGATAATTATGTTTGATATTTATTTGTTGAAATATTTCTTATTGAAAGTTAAGCGTGTTTACAAATATATATATTTTTTAAAGACGTAATCACTTTTCGATAAGTGGTGTCTTTAAACGGCATCCACACTAATGTTTCGGTTTTTAAGTGTTAATGTTAGGGTGAGCATAAGGTTAGGTTTTAGACAATATGTATCAATATGCTACAAACCAAGATGTAGGCCTATACATCCAAGTCACTCGAATAGGTTAGAGTTAAGACATCAGAAATTCTGCAACAGCTGAATAATTTTGAAATAGTACATATGTAGAAAATATTATTCTGTTTAAAATGAATGTGCATTCGAAAATTTCTTTAAAGACGTAAACAAAACTAATGATGTAAAAAACACATTTAATTTATACAACGTGAGAACAAGTTCTTCAATTTTCAAAACTTGGCCTTAATGACATACTCGGATGTAAAAACAAACATTTAATTATACAACGCGAGAACAAGTACTTTAATTTTTTTTTAAATGGCGTCCATGGAAACAGGCTACGTACCGATTGAAAAGGTTATCGCATTAAAAAACAAAATTTTCTGTCAGCTATAGCTTTAATGAAAAGTTTAATGAAAAGGTTCCAACACTTTTATTAACGTTCAATAAGATAACGCTTGTAATTCGAGAAAATAAATACATTATTTACTGATATTGTGATAAACTAAAAACAAGATCTAGAACTGAGCAGCAAAAAAAAAAAAAAATAATTAGTTGACAAGTACAAAAACACAAAAAAGAGTTTACGGTTTTTAAATAATTTTTTAAAATATAATTTCTTAGACGAGAACTTGAATAATTTATTCATTTGTTATTCCTGTTATTATGAGGTTCCAATAGTTGTTAATAGGACACTTTTGACAGATATTCCAGTTCGAGAATATGAAGATATTTATATTAATTTTATTATGTATTGATCATTTTTTTTGTCGGCAGGAAAAAACATTTTTAAAAATAAAAACCAAAAATCCAATAATCGACCGCGATTTTAACTGAATTATTTAAGGCAATAAATCAGTTTTTGTGTTAAATAAATTTGTAAGCTGATTTTGCTGTAGCTTATAATTTAATAATTTTTAGGTTGTGATTTTTCTTAATAGTATGCAAAGTTTATATTTGTTGTGTTCAAGTTACCATTAAGCCAACCTCATCCCCTTCCTATAAGCGTCTAAAACATTTGACTTCCTTATGACGCCCCCCCCCCTTCTTTCCAGCTTGGACGTCATCCATGGATGCCCCAAGGGACTGGGTGGGGGTTTGGGGACAGGGGTTTATTTGGGGTTAAAAAAACTTTATAAATGCTGGGGGTTGGCAAAATGGGATATTGATTTGTGTTGTGCAGTGCAGCTGACTGACCGTTTTCCGACGGGTAACTGGGTCGTCTAGTACTACTTATTTTCATTTGAAGATCAACACCAAGACATTTTCTAACACAACCAAATACCACAGATTTTGTTTTAAATACAGACATTTCTTACACAACCCAATACGACAGTTTGAGTTATAAATACAGACATTTCCTAACAGCCTAAAACAAATGTTTTCAGCCAAAAATAACCACCGCGTACTAAACGACCATCACACATCGTTATGGGAATTTTTTAAAAAATAATTTCGTTTATTTCCAATTTTAAATTTTTTTCAAATGTAACGCGTAGCCATACCCCCCCCCCTCCCCCTTCACCCCATTTATACAATGGGCCGTAGTAAATATTTAAAAAATAATTCCGCTAACTTCAACTTTTTTATTTTATTTTTTAATGTAACACGTAGCTATACCCTCTCTCTCTCTCTCTCTCCCCCCCCCCCCCCCCCCAAGCAAACAATGGCCCCATGGACCGGTTTAATTAAAAAAAAAATTTACTGCGGTAAAACGCCGTGTACATATTTACAACGATGCCTGCACGACATAACCAAAACAGCAAAAACTATTGGCCTAATCCGATTAAAACTTTTTTTGTGCTAGGCTTAGTTCTATTTGCCATGGCGGCTGAACACTAAGGGGGTTTACTTGCAATGTAGGGTCAGCATCTGTTGGAGCAATTAGTAGAATGTTCCATGAATAGCGTCATGCATGGATGATTTTAATGGAAGGGACGCGGGGTGTAGTTGTTTTTGGGGAGATTGGCTGAGTTTAGCGGAGGGGGGGGGAGGGTAGATGGGGGATGGGCAGAAGAGGGGGATGGAAAAAAGAACGTAGAGGAGGCGGGGCAGAGAGGCGTGGGCAGGGGAGGATGGAAAGAGAAACGTAGAGGAGTATGGACGGGAGGGTGGAAAAAGGAGGATACATGAGGGTGGACAGGGGAGGAGGGAGAGAGGAGGAGGATGATTAGAGGAATAAGGAACAAAGGAATTTGTCAGAGAAAGGTATAGACCATAAGGGCGTAGTGGATCAAAAGGGAATGTGAGGTGAACAGAGAGAGGTAGTTGACAGGAGGGTATGGATAGACAGAGGGAGGGGATAGAGAAAGGGTGAGGGAATAGAGAAAGGGTGAGGGGATAGAGAAAGGGTGAGGGGATAGAGAAAGGGTGAGGGGATAGAGAAAGGGGGAGGGGATAGAGAAAGGGGGAGGGGATAGAGAAAATGGGAGGGGATAGAGAAAGGGGGAGGGGATAGAGAAAGGGGGAGGGGATAGAGAAAGGGGAAGGGGATAGAGAAAGGGGGAGCGGATAGAGAAAGGGGGAGGGGATAGAGAAAGGGGGAGGGGATAGAGAAAGGGGGAGGGGATAGAGAAAGGGGGAGGGGATAGAGAAAGGGGGAGGGGATAGAGAAAGGGGGAGTGGATAGAGAAAGGGGGAGGGGATAGAGAAAGGGGGAGGGGATAGAGAAAAGGGGAGGGGATAGAGAAAGGGGGGAGGGGATAGAGAAAGGGGGAGGGGATAGAGAAAGGGGGAGCGGATAGAGAAAGGGGGAGCGGATAGAGAAAGGGGGAGCGGATAGAGAAAGGGGAGGGGATAGAGAAAGGGGGAGGGGATAGAGAAAGGGGGAGGGGATAGAAAAAAGGGGAGGGGATAGAGAAGGGGGAGGGGACAGAGAAAGGGGGAGGGGATAGAGAAAGGGGGAGGGGATAGAGAAAGGGGGAGGGAATAGAGAAAGGGGGAGGGGATAGAGAAAAGGGGAGGGGATAGAGAAAGGGGGAGGGGATAGAGAAAGGGGGAGGGGATAGAGAAAGGAGGGGAGAAAATTCTATTCGTCGATCATCTTGACACTCCCACATAGAAAAAAATATCAAAGGTAAAAAAAAAACTGCTGGGGAAGTAGAGCAGACATATACTGGACCCGGCATTCGAGATGACACTTTTTAGTTCGTTCCGTCCAAATGGTGCTAGATACCCGTTACAGCTGAGTTGACTGCAAGAGCAAATACAGAGCTCAAGTATGAGCCAATATGTTATCAACTTCAACCTCAACGTTATCCAATTTGCTATTGGCGACACCGACAGCTTCAATAATTGAACACAACTCACTATTACGTGGCGCATTTCTCTTCAGCATTAATAGGGCTTGTAAGTAGGTCATAACTTCTCGTTCTCGTACTTGCCAGCTAGTAGATTTCGAGACCGCAGACATACAAGCCCTGTTACTTAAGACAAGAAAACACTCGGAAACATTTTTACCTATTTGTGCAAGCTATTTTTTCAATGTTCTCTAACTCAAAGATCAGATAACTAGTGTTGCGTTTAAACATATATGCCGTAAGCTCATTTAGCTTTCTTAAGTACCTAGCAATACTTTTAAAGAATTTAAGGCTATCTAGCCCAACGCAGTTTTGAGTGGTATACATATCGACTCAACTCAATAAAGTTTGAAGACTCGACGACAATTTCACTTTGAACTGCCATTTAGAAGTGTAAAGCGTGGAGGATCCATGGATAAAGTGAAGTAGAGTTTACCTACTTCTCTGACCTCGGCATGTAAAGAGATAGTGCGGCCAGCCTAGTTGACTTTTTCCTTACTTAAGACTAGTACCCACCGGATAATTTAATAGATTTCAACTTTTAAAAATATTTAAAAAAAAAACAACAACAAAAAAAAAGCATATTTTTTTCCTAAAATGATTTAAATTTGGCATGTTCTTTCTACCAGCACCTGGCCAATCTTCTATCCCAAAACGACACAATCAAAAACCGATTTGTCGCTTGGTTTTTACCCAAGCTAAACCCCACCACACCCCAGCCAACCCCCACCACACCTCAGCCAACCCCCACCACCCCTGAACCACAGTCGACCACCACCAAGAAGAAGAACGCCTTTGATGAACTTCGCGTCCTTTGGCCTCCCATAGCCAAGCCCGAAGATAATGGTAAGCCTAGTAGTCTAGTTCACACAGTTTAAAATTATTGGTTTAGGACAGTCTCTATGTTAGGAAATTACAATGTTAGAGTAAATTTATTTTAGAATGTATTGAAAAGTTTCGATTATTTTAACTACAATTTTATAAACGTGTAGAAGTGTTTATGGCAAATAAATCTGCAAACGTTGGAGGAATTCGTAGATATCATAGGCGTAGCGACCCTTTCCGGCGTCCGGGGGACAAACTTTCAATTTGGCGCCCCCCCCCCCCCCCGGGGACAAACTTTCAATTTGGCGCCCCCCCCCCGGGGACAAACTTTCAATTTGGCGCCCCCCCCCGGGGACCAATTTTCAATTTGGCGCCCCCCCCCCGGGGACAAACTTTCAATTTGGCGCCCCCCCCCCCGGGGACAACCTTCAATTTGGCGCCCCCCCCATACATTTGCAAAAAACAATGCAAAACTGCAGCTAAAATGAGCTTTTAATTTTTTTTTCCAAACCCATTTAAGCGCCCCTAGGGTCGGCACCCGGGGAAATATGTACATATCTACAATCAGGGGCGTAGCGAGGGGGGGGGCGGGGAATGCGGAACGCACCGGGTGACACCATTTAGAGGGGTGACACCAAGACAAAAAATAGCAAAATATATAGAGAAAAACTTGAGGGGGGGGGTGCAAATCGAAAGTTTGAGGAGGGGGTGCAAATCGAAAACTTGAGGGGGGGGGGTGCAAATCGAAAGTTTGAGGGGGGGGGGAGTGCAAATCGAAAACTTGAAAACTTGAAAGTTTGTCCCCGGGAAGGGTCGTTACGCCTCTGACACCATTAAGTGCCGCACCGGGTGACACCCAACCTCGCTACGCCACTGTCTACAATGTCGATATATTGAAGTTTTAGTGCTATTTTAACTTTAAAATGTGTGATATTTTGGTGCTTCCGTAATTGGGCCTCTGAAACAAAGCTACGAATTCGCTATTCTATGGCCATTTTTTAATGTTTGTCTATTATGGCCGTTTTAATCTTTGTGCCTTATCATTATCTTTTCCCGTTCGTACCCAAGACACATGGGGTAGATGAAGTAGAGTTTATCTGTTTCAGAGACTTCGGCATATGCAGGGATAGGGTGGTCAGCACTGTGCCCAGCCGCTTTTGCTTTACCTACCCTGAGTTAGGTACCCATCAGAGCTGGGTTGACTCAGGGACGTTCTACTTTGTGTCCTATGGCCAAGTTTTAATCTTTGTGTCCTATGGCCAAGTTTTAATCTTTGTGTCCTATGGCCAAGTTTTAACCTTTGTGTCCTATGGCCAAGTTTTAATGTGTGTCCTATGGCCAAGTTTTAATATGTGTCCTATGGCCAAGTTTTAATTTGTGTCATATGACCAAGTTTTAATCTTTGTGTCCTATGGCCAAGTTTTAATTTGTGTCATATGACCAAGTTTTAATCTTTGTGTCATATGGCCAAGTTTTAATCTTTGTGTCCTATGGCCAAGTTTTAATTTGTGTCATATGACCAAGTTTTAATCTTTGTGTCATATGGCCAAGTTTTAATCTTTGTGTCCTATGGCCAAGTTTTAATTTGTGTCATATGACCAAGTTTTAATCTTTGTGTCATATGGCCAAGTTTTAATCTTTGTGTCCTATGGCCAAGTTTTAATTTGTGTCATATGACCAAGTTTTAATCTTTGTGTCATATGACCAAGTTTTAATCTTTGTGTCCTGTGGCTAGGGTATGGCGGTGCTGGTGTGAAGATTGACCCCACGACCTTGACCCCACGAGAGAAGAAGATCTTTGACCAGGGCTACCAGATCTACAAGGTCAACCAGTTGGCCAGTGATCGGATACCGCTTCGGCGTCAGATTACACTGGATATGCCTGAGTGAGTAGCACACATGCATTGACATACATGAGTGAGTAGCACACATACATTGACATGCCTGAGTGAGTAGCACACATGCATTTACATACATGAGTGAGTAGCACACATGCATTGACATACATGAGTGAGTAGCACACATACATTGACATGCCTGAGTGAGTAGCACACATGCATTTACATACATGAGTGAGTAGCACACATACATTGACATGCATGAGTGAGTAGCACACATGCATTGACATACATGAGTGAGTAGCACACATACATTGACATGCATGAGTGAGTAGCACACATACATTGACATGCCTGAGTGAGTAGCACACATGCATTTACATACATGAGTGAGTAGCACACATACATTGACATGCATGAGTGAGTGGCACACATACATTGACATACATGAGTGAGTAGCACACATGCATTGACATTCATGAGTGAGTAGCACACATACATTGACATACATGAGTGAGTAGCACACATGCATTGACATGCATGAGTGAGTAGCACACATACATTGACATTCATGAGTGAGTAGCACACATGCATTGACATGCATGAGTGAGTAGCACACATACATTGACATGCATGAGTGAGTAGCACACATACATTGACATACATGAGTGAGTAGCACACATACATTGACATACATGAGTGAGTAGCACACATACATGGACATGCATGAGTGATTAGCGCACTGGACATGCCTGAGTGAGAGGCACACACTGGACATGCCTGAGTGAGTAGCACACATACATTGACATACATGAGTGAGTAGCACACATACATTGACATACATGAGTGAGTAGCACACATACATGGACATGCATGAGTGATTAGCGCACTGGACATGCCTGAGTGAGAGGCACACACTGGACATGCCTGAGTGAGTAGCACACATACATTGACATACATGAGTGAGTGGCACACATACATTGACATACATGAGTGAGTAGCACACATACATTGACATACATGAGTGAGTGGCACACATACATGGACATACATGAGTGAGTAGCACACATACATGGACATACATGAGTGAGTGGCACACATACATGGACATACATGAGTGAGTAGCACACATACATTGACATGCATGAGTGAGTGGCACACATACATTGACATACATGAGTGAGTAGCACACATGCATTGACATTCATGAGTGAGTAGCACACATACATTGACATACATGAGTGAGTAGCACACATGCATTGACATGCATGAGTGAGTAGCACACATACATTGACATTCATGAGTGAGTAGCACACATACATTGACATACATGAGTGAGCAGCACACATACATTGATATACATGAGTGAGCAGCACACATACATTGATATACATGAGTGAGCAGCACACATACATTGACATACATGAGTGAGTAGCACACATACATTGACACACATGAGTGAGTAGCACACATACATTGACATACATGAGTGAGTAGCACACATACATTGACATACATGAGTGAGTAGCACACATGCATTGACATTCATGAGTGAGTAGCACACATACATTGACATACATGAGTGAGTAGCACACATGCATTGACATGCATGAGTGAGTAGCACACATACATTGACATTCATGAGTGAGTAGCACACATACATTGACATACATGAGTGAGCAGCACACATACATTGATATACATGAGTGAGCAGCACACATACATTGATATACATGAGTGAGTAGCACACATACATTGACATACATGAGTGAGTAGCACACATACATTGACATACATGAGTGAGTAGCACACATACATTGACATACATGAGTGAGTAGCACACATACATTGACATACATGAGTGAGTAGCACACATACATTGACATACATGAGTAAGTAGCACACATACATTGACATACATGAGTGAGTAGCACACATACATTGACATACATGAGTGAGTAGCACACATACATTGACATACATGAGTGAGTAGCACACATACATTGACATACATGAGTGAGCAGCACACATACATTGACATACATGAGTGAGCAGCACACATACATTGACATACATGAGTGAGCAGCACACATACATTGATATACATGAGTGAGTAGCACACATACATTGACATACATGAGTGAGCAGCACACATACATTGACATACATGAGTGAGCAGCACACATACATTGACATACATGAGTGAGCAGCACACATACATTGACATACATGAGTGAGCAGCACACATACATTGATATACATGAGTGAGTAGCACACGTCATACATGAATGAATATCACCCTGCACATGCCTGGGTGAGTATCACACAGTAGACATGCATGAGTATCGCACACAAGATGAGGGTGAGTCTTGACTTAACACAGTAGACATGCATGAGTATCGCACACAAGATGAGGGTGAGTCTTGACTTAACACAGTAGACATGCATGAGTATCGCACACAAGATGAGGGTGAGTCTTGACTTAACACAGTAGACATGCATGAGTATCGCACACAAGATGAGGGTGAGTCTTGACTTAACACAGTAGACATGCATGAGTATCGCACACAAGATGAGGGTGAGTCTTGACTTAACAATTATCAAAATCTGAAATTTTTTCTACAACACCGACTAAAATCAAATCTCACGAATGAGCAGGAATATAAAAAAAATTTAGAAGTATAAAACTTGTTAATCTAAAACCTGTATTTAACTATAAATTGTAATTCTAAAACTTATAAATCTAAGCTGGTAAAGCTAAAACTTGTTGATCTAAAACGTGTAAATTTAAAACTTATAAATCTAAACGTGTAAATCTAAAACTTGTTGATCTAAAACGTGTAAATTTAAAACTTCTAAATCTAAACGTGTAAACCTAAAATTTGTTGATCTAAAACTTGTTGATCTAAAACTTATAAATCTAAACGTGTAAATCTAAAACTTGTAAATCTATATAAACAACGGATTAAGTCAGTAGATTTTATCTGGCAACAGCACGGTCTAGGTCCTTAGCTCACCATCAACTTTTGTTATAAATAAAGCGGCTTATATAAAAGCACTACACAAAAGCTTATTCACAAAAATATCGGAGAAATCAGCAAAGAAATTGTCTGTATGCTAACTTGTAATGCCTCAAGGGGTGAATCAGTAAAATTTTGAAATGTTTGCGAATTGAAATTTTATTTTTCGATTATTTGATATTTTTGTGTTTGTTGAACAATGTCACTAGGTGTGAGTAAGGAATGGTGTCTTTTAACTAGTAGAGTGGGTTTACTAGCATGCAATTCTTACTAGAATACAAACAGATTCAAATGTGTATTTAGTGAGTAAATACGATGACATAGAACAAATCCATTTTCAAAAAGTTTTTGGATAAAATCTCGAGACTTATATATACCTCAATCTGTATTTATATATGCCTCAATCTCTATATAGGCCTCAATCTCTATATACACCTTAATCTCTATACCTCAATTACTAATTACACCCCAATATCTATATACATCGCAATCTATATATACATCTTTATACTCACCTCTATATACACTAAATCAATATATACACCTCAATCTCTCTACACCTTAATCTCTATAAACACCCCAGTCTCTATATACACCTCTATATACCCCTTAATCCAATAATTTATTACCCCCAAATACAATAAAATAATCCCCAATACAATAATCTTTCGCCCCCAATCCAATAATTTATCGTCCAATCTAATAATCTATCATCAAATAATCTATCGCCCCAAATTCAATAATCTATCATCGAATAATCCATCAGTCCCCAAACAAATAATATATCACCCCAAACGAATAATCTATCATCGATTAATCTATCACCCCCGCCAATCGAGTAATCTATCATTAAATAATCGATCACCCCAATCCTATAATCTATCATCGAATCAGTGGCGTAGTTTGATGGGGGGGGGGGTGCAAATTGAAAGTTTGAGGGGGGGGGGGTGACACCATTAAATGCCGCACCGGGTGACACCCGACCTCGCTACGCCACTGCATCGAATAATCTATCAGCCCCCAATCTAATAATCTACCATGAAATAATCGATCACCCCCCAATCCAATAATCTATCATGAAATAATCGATCACCCCCCAATCCAATAATCTATCATGAAATAATCGATCACCCCCCCAATCCAATAATCTATCATGAAATAATCGATCACCCCCCCCAAACGAATAATCTATCATCAAACAATCTATCACCCCCAATCCAATAATCTATCATCAAATAATCAACCCCCCCAATCGAATAATCTATCATGAAAGAATCGACCCCCCCGAATCGAACAATCTATCATGAAAAAAACGACCCCCCCCCCCAGGTGCAAGAACAAAACCTTTGATGTGGGCCAGCTACCTACAGCTGGGGTGGTGCTGATCTTCACCAACGAGATCTGGTCGGTCCTGCTGAGGACTGTCTACAGCATCCTTGACGCCGGTCCTGTGGAGCTCATCTCGGAGATTGTCCTGGTGGACGACGCTTCAGATAAAGGTGTGAGAGTATCTTTTGTTTTCTAGACAACTGCTTCAGATAAAGGTGTGAGGGTGCTTTTGGTTTCTAGACAACTGCTCAGATAAAGGTGTGAGGGTGCTTTTGGTTTCTAGACAACTGCTCAGATAAAGGTGTGAGGGTGCTTTTGGTTTCTAGACAACTGCTTCAGATAAAGGTGTGAGGGTGGTTTTGTTTTCTAGACAACTGCTTCAGATAAAGGTGTGAGGGTGGTTTTGTTTTCTAGACAACTGCTTCAGATAAAGGTGTGAGGGTGGTTTTGTTTTCTAGACAACTGTTCAGATAAAGGTGTGAGGGTGGTTTTGTTTTCTAGACAACTGTTCAGATAAAGGTGTGAGGGTGCTTTTGGTTTCTAGACAACTGCTCAGATAAAGGTGTGAGGGTGGTTTTGTTTTCTAGACAACTGCTTCAGATAAAGGTGTGAGGGTGGTTTTGTTTTCTAGACAACTGCTTCAGATAAAGGTGTGAGGGTGGTTTTGTTTTCTAGACAACTGCTCAGATAAAGGTGTGAGAGTATCTTTTGTTTTCTAGACAACTGCTCATATAATGTATCATCCCCAATATAATAATCTAATTCCAAATCCAATAATGTAATTCCCAATACAATAATCTAATTCAAATCCTATAATCTAGCTCCCTATCCAACAGTCTAATTCCCAAATACAATAATCTAATTCCCAATACAATAATCTAATTCCCAATCCCATAATCTAATCCCCAATCCTATAATCTAGCTCCCTATCCAACAGTCTAATTCCCAAATATAATAATCTAATTCCCAATCCAAATTATCTAGTGCTCCATGGAGGCAGATGAAGTAGAGTTTATCTGTTTCCGTGGCCACTAAATATGAACGGATAGTGTGGTTTAGCACTATGCCTAGCCGTCTTTACTTTTCCTGACGTGAGTCAGGTACCCTTAAAATCTGAGTGAATTTAGGAACGTGTTATAGACTTATACCTGGGGACCCAAACTCGTGAGTTTTGGGTTAGCAATCGTACGCTCTATTATCTGACTACTCCATCCCCTTTTGAGATTTAAAATAAATATTACATTATGGGAAGGCATGGTCGAGTGTTAGAACTCAGGAAAACTGACCTGACACGAATCTCTCCTGGTCCGTAGTACGTCTGTGTCCGCCCAACTTCGTAGAGTACCTGGGTATCTAGGGCAGATAAGGGCAGCTGGGCATATTGCTGACCACATTATACATGCAGAATCTATGGCAGATAAGGGCAGCAGGGCATATTGCTGACCACATTATACATGCAGTATCTATGGCAGATAAGGGCAGCTGGGCATATTGCTGACCACATTATACATGCAGTATCTATGGCAGATAAGGGCAGCTGGGCATATTGCTGACCACATTATACATGCAGTATCTAGGGCAGATATGGGCAGCTGGGCATATTGCTGACCACATTATACATGCAGAATCTAGGGCAGATAAGGGCAGCTGGGCATATTGCTGACCACATTATACATGCAGAATCTGGGGCAGATAAGGGCAGCTGGGCATATTGCTGACCACATTATACATGCAGAATCTATGGCAGATAAGGGCAGCAGGGCATATTGCTGACCACATTATACATGCAGTATCTATGGCAGATAAGGGCAGCTGGGCATATTGCTGACCACATTATACATGCAGTATCTAGGGCAGATAAGGGCAGCTGGGCATATTGCTGACCACATTATACATGCAGAATCTAGGGCAGATATGGGCAGCTGGGCATATTGCTGACCACATTATACATGCAGAATCTAGGGCAGATAAGGGCAGCTGGGCATATTGCTGACCACATTATACATGCAGAATCTAGGGCAGATATGGGCAGCTGGGCATATTGCTGACCACATTATACATGCAGAATCTAGGGCAGATAAGGGCAGCTGGGCATATTGCTGACCACATTATACATGCATAATCTAGGGCAGAATAAGGGCAGCTAGGCATATTGCTGACCACATTATACATGCAGAATCTGGGGCAGATAAGGGCAGCTGGGCATATTGCTGACCACATTATCTCTTCATACAGACACCGAATTAAAACAAAACCGGCGACATTTTTTGAGGGAATTTTTTTTTATTCTTAATATAATTAATGTTACACTACTGTAACAGCACAAATATATAATTTTTTGATGTTTCGGATTCGAATCCCAAAATCAGCACTGACTTAGTCAATGTCTTATATGTATCTAGCAAATCTTGGTAAATGTTAAGGTCAAATGTATAGCACTCATCTTAAGGTTTCATTGCCCAAGACAGGCAAACAACTGACCATAAAAGACTTCTGCTGTAGTCAAAACTAGCGATATTAAAACATCTGAAACAAGCAATATTAAAATATATTTTGAAATCTTTTGTATAGTTATATATAGATATAAAACGATTCATGTAAAATTATACGTCACCTCCCCCCACCCCCACCCCCACCCCCTACAGAGTTTCTAGGAGCCCCCCTAGAGGAATACATCAAAATCTTCGGTGGAAGAGTCAAGTTAGTTCGTCTACCGGAGAGGAGAGGGCTAATAGAGGCAAGAGTTGTAGGATTTGAGCACGTCACTGGATCAGTTGCGGTCTTTCTAGATGCCCATTGCGAGGTCCATAAAGGTACTGATTACACCGTTACACAGTACTTACACGTACTTTAAAAGTTATAACTTTAACGGTTACATAGTACTTACACGTACTTTAAAAGTTGAAAGTTTAACTTCTATATAACGCTTACATATAATTAAATTGTTGAGACTACTGATATACATAGAACTATTGAAAAGCTATCGGTAAACCATACTATAATACTAGGTAGATTGTAAAAAGGCAGTTGACAGGATGTTTCTAAAATCGAACCAATAGTTCGATTTCAGGTACAGTTTCAATGTCCACATATATGTTGACATAAGTCGAAATGATACACATGATAAGAATCTGTCCTTATGCTTACACACGTATTCAAGTCTGTTGACACGCTTTAATAAGTCTGTTGACAGAAATTGACGTCTGCTGGCACAAAAGATAAACGTCTGCTTATATGAATGATTGACGCCTTTAAAATAAACGATTGACGTCTGCTAAAACAAACGATTGACCTATGCCAACAAAACAATTGACGTCAGTTGACACAAATGATTGACGTCTGCCAATAAAATGATTGACGTCTGCCAATAAAACGATTGACGTCTGCTTACATATGTAATTGACGTCTGCTGGCACAAATGATTGATGTCTTCTTACATAAATGATTGACGTCTGTCAAAAAAATGATTGACGTCTGCTAACACAAATGATTGACGTCTGCTTACATAAATGATTGACGTCTGCTGACCCAAATGATTGACGTCTGCTTACATAAATGATTGACGTCTGCTGACCCAAATTATTGACGTCTGCTTACATATATAACTGACGTCTGCTGACCCAAACATTTACACCCCCAGGTTGGCTAGAGCCACTTCTGGAGAGGATCAAACACGACGACAAAATCCTGGCCGTGCCAAACACCGATAGGATCAACTACGACACGTTTCAGGTACCATGTCGCTCATGGCGTGAACTTGTTTATCTTATCTGTTGACGTGATCCTGTTTGTTTTATCTATTGACGTGATCCTGTTTGTCTTATCTGTTGACGTGATCCTGTTTGTCTTATCTGTTGACGTGATCCTGTTTGTCTTATCTGTTGACGTGATCCTGTTTGTCTTATCTGTTGACGTGGTCCTGTTTGTCTTATCTGTTGACGTGATCCTGTTTGTTTTATCTATTGGCGTGATCCTGTTTGTCTTATCTGTTGACGTGATCCTGTTTGTCTTATCTATTGGCGTGATCCTGTTTGTTTTATCTGTTGACGTGGTCCTGTTTGTCTTATCTGTTGACGTGATCCTGTTTGTTTTATCTATTGGCGTGATCCTGTTTGTTTTATCTGTTGACGTGGTCCTGTTTGTCTTATCTCTTGACGTGATCCTGTTTGTCTTATCTGTTGACGTGATCCTGTTTGTCTTATCTGTTGACGTGATCCTGTTTGTTTTATCTGTTGGCGTGATCCTGTTTGTCTTATCTGTTGACGTGATCCTGTTTGTCTTATCTGTTGGCGTGATCGTAAATGATTTAGTTAATCTCTCAAGTATCCATGCTGTCCGTTTAAAGATTTTGATTGCCATTCCCACGTCTTTGCAGTTGCTATCAAAAACATTTGGACAGCCGTCAAATGATGTTCCAATGCCCGTCCTATGCCCTTCAAAGTGCTATCAAAACCATTTAGCCAGCTGTCAAAGGATGTTCTAATGCCCGTCCTATGCCCTTCAAAATGCCACCAATACCAAGTTGACAGCTGCTTCTTGATTCTAAACCCATCTAATGATTTATTCAATGGCCTACTTAAGCTCATCCTTCGCCGATATCATAAATATCCGGTTTTTGTGTGAATTTTATTTCCTACTGTAATGCCCTTTAATGCCCTTTTAAGTTCGTACAGTGATTGCCTGATGCGTTTCTTATACGTGTGTATTGGCCGTCAAGTGCCCATGTACTGGACGTTAAATGCCCCTTTAATGCCCACCTAATGGCCGCCAAATGCCCCTTTCATGCCCACCTAATGCCGTCAAGTGCCCATGTACTGGACGTTAAATGTCCCTTTAATGCCCACCTAATGGCCGCCAAATGCCCCTTTCATGCCCACCTAATGCCGTCAAGTGCCCATGTACTGGACGTTAAATGCCCCTTTAATGCCCACCTAATGGCCGCCAAATGCCCCTTTCATGCCCACCTAATGCCGTCAAGTGCCCATGTAATGCCCATATAGTAGCTCCATCCACATAACCCTATTTCTCCTTACCAACTTCTGTCCTCTTTGCATCACATTCTGTGTATCACCTTCTGTGTATCAACTATTGTGTATCACCCTCTGTATATCACATTATGTATATCCTCTTATGTGTATCTCCTTTTTTTATGTCTCACTTTATGTGTCTCACTTCATGTGTATCACTTTATGTGTCTCACTTTATGTGTCTCACTTCATGTGTCTCACTTTATGTGTCTCACTTTCCGTGTCTCACTTTATGCGTCTTACTTTATGCGTCTCACTTTCCGTGTCTCACTTTCCGTGTCTCACTTTCCGTGTCTCACTTTCCGTGTCTCACTTTCCGTGTCTCACTTTCCGTGTCTCACTTTTTGTGTCTCACTTTATGTGTCTCACTTTATGTGTCTCACTTTCTGTGTCTCATTTTCCGTGTCTCACTTTCTATGTCTCACTTTCTATGTCTCACTTTCTATGTCTCACTTTCTATGTCTCACTTTGTATTCACACTCTCTTTGTCTCACTTTCTGTGTCTCATTTTCTATGTCTCACTTTCTATGTCTCACTTTCCGTGTCTCACTTAATGTGTCTTACTTTCTGTGAACTTTTTTCCACGTATCACTTTCCTTCACACGATTAGCGTACCGGATTAAGACCGTCTAGCTGTCAATGGAGGTTTACCGAGAAGATAGGATTAAAAACCGCTGAAAGGAAAATCCATTGTGGTTATACAAATAAAGAAATCTCGGGGTAATTGATCTAGAACGTTCGAACATTTTTAAAGAATAATGTTGATATCTTCTCTAGGCTAAACATAAAAGACTTGGGAAAAAAAATTCGAATTTTAAATTTTAAATTTGAATCTTTGGCCTAGAAATCTTTCTGACAGGATTGAAATCAAAATTTTCTTTAAGGAATGTACACACGTTGTGAACACATGGACACGCCTTTAAGTTATAATCTACTGCTTAACTAATGGATATTTAAATCTCATCTAGTGGCCCAAATAACATTGATCTATAACATCCACCACTCTATACAGTGTTTCTTCCAGACTTTTGTCTCCGGGGGGGGGGGGGGGGCACTCGATATTTTCGGGGGGGGGGGGGGGCGTTCATCATTTGGGGGGGGGGGGCGGACACTAGTAAAATTGTATGTTTACAAAGAGATGCCTGGAAGAAACTGACTCTATATGATACCATATAACAAAATGATATACCCATATACATATAGCTTACTTAGAGGAATGGAGCTCAGTATATTTTTACTTTAAGTACTGTAAACATATTTTTATAATTGAGTACTGTAAACACTTTGTTTATTGTTGCTGTAAGAGTTCACGAAAACAAAAACCCATCACAAACGCGGGGATTTAGTTGAGTAAAACGTTGTACTTTAAAGTCTGTTGAGAGTATAATTTGTTCTTTGCCTTTTTTTTGTTGATAGTCTGAGATCATCTGTGTACCATAGATTTACTGTAAAGACTTATTTTGCTGACAGTTCGCCTGTGAAACATTAATTTACTGTAAAACTTCCTTTGATGACAGTATAACTTCGCATGGCTAATCGTAGATTTACTGTCAAGACTTTCTTTGTTTACGGTATGAAATCGCCTGTATATCATAGATTTACTGTAAAGACCTACTTTGTTGACAATAAAAAAAAATTGCCTGTGTACAATAGATTTACTGTAAAGACTCACTTTGAATATAACTTTGCCTGTAAACCATAGATTTACTGTAAACCTTCCTTTGTTGACAGTATGAGTTCGCCAGAAACCCCCACCAGAGGGGCGGGTTCGAGTTCGACATGTACTACAGCTGGATAGACCCTCCCCCACCCCCGGACGGCAAGATCAGGATGTCAGAAGCCGACCCCGTCAAGTAAACATATCTTTGATTCAAGTTCACTGATCACTCACGCCATTGAACACATACAGTTTTATTTGATTTCAGATATAATGGAAACTTTTGTTTTGCTTATTTTGAAAGTAAACCTTCGTGTTACTGTTACTTGTTTAGTTTAGAGTTCAGATGTTTAAATGAAGAGCTACATGTATGAGCTTAAAGAGCTATCGTGAGATGAATCATATTTTTAGCATCGCACTTCACTAACCCAAATAATTTTTGCACCAAACTTCAATATCTTAATATTTTAGCACTAATCCTCACTAGACTTATTTTTGTTAGCACTAATCTTAACTGGCCAAATAATTTTAGCACCAATCATCACTAGCCTAATATTTGAGCACCAATCTTCACTAGTCCAATATTTTAGAACCAATCATCATTAGCCTAATATTTTAGCACCTAACTGCACTATCCGAAATCATTTTAGCACCAATCCTCACTAGTCTAATATTTAAGCACCAATCTTCACTAGTCTAATATTATAGCACCGGTCTTCACAAGGCTTATAATTTTAGCACCATTCATCACCAGTCAAATATTTTAGCACCAATCATCACTAGTCCAATATTTTAGCACCAATCTTCACCAGTCCAATATTTTAACACCTATCCTCACCAGTCCAGTATTTTAACACCTATCCTCACTAGCCCAATATTTTAACACCTATCCTCACCAGTCCAGTATTTTAACACCTATCCTCACTAGCCCAATTTTTTAGCACCTATCCTCACCAGCCCAATATTTTAGCACCTATCCTCACTAGCCCAATATTTTAGCACCAATCATCACTAGTCCAATATTTTAGCACCAATCTTCACCAGTCCAATATTTTAACACCTATCCTCACCAGTCCAGTATTTTAACACCTATCCTCACTAGCCCAATATTTTAACACCTATCCTCACCAGTCCAGTATTTTAACACCTATCCTTACTAGTCCAATATTTTAACACCTATCCTCACCAGTCCAGTATTTTAACACCTATCCTCACTAGCCCAATATTTTAACACCTATCCTCACCAGTCCAGTAGTTTAACACCTATCCTCACTAGCCCAATTTTTTAGCACCTATCCTCACCAGCCCAATATTTTAGCACCTATCCTCACTAGCCCAATATTTTAGCACCTATCCTCACCAGCCCAATATTTTAGCACCTATCCTCACTAGCCCAATATTTTAGCACCTATCCTCACTAGCCCAATATTTTAGCACCTATCCTCACCAGTCCAATATTTTAGCACCAATCATCACCAGTCCAGTATTTTAACACCTATCCTCACTAGCCCAATTTTTTAGCACCTATCCTCACCAGCCCAATATTTTAGCACCTATCCTCACTAGCCCAATATTTTAGCACCTATCCTCACTAGCCCAATATTTTAGCACCTATCCTCACCAGTCCAATATTTTAGCACCAATCATCACTAGCCCAATATTTTAGCACCAATCATCACTAGCCCAATATTTTAGCACCTATCCTCACCAGTCCAGTATTTTAGCACCTATCCTCATCAGTCCAGTATTTTAGCACCTATCCTCACTAGCTCAATATTTTAGCACCTATCCTCACCAGTCCAATATTTTAGAACCAACCTTTTCTAGTAAATATTTTAGCACCTATCCTCACCAGTCCAGTATTTTGTCACCCAGGTCACCTACCCATCTCGGCTGCTGTTTCGCGGTGTCGAAAGCAAATTTTGATCGTCTGGGGAGATACGACCCTGGCCTTGACATTTGGGGCTGTGAGAACCAGGAGCTGTCGTTCAAGGTCAGGTCATAGGAGTTCATCTATAAATAGCTTCAGGACGAGTTAGGGTTATAGAGACGTTCTCTAGATCGACACAATGTTAATTTACGTGGGTCACATGGGGAAGATGAAGTAGAGTTCACGTGTTTCTGTGACTTCGGCATATGATGGGATAGCGTGGCCGATGCTTTACCGAACCGCTTTTCCTTTTCCTAACACGTGTCAGGTACTCATAAGGGGTCATCCATAAATGACGTCCCACTCGTAGGAAGGAGGGGGGGGGTCCGTAATTTTGTGACGATGTGTGATGAGGGGAAGGGGGGGGGGGGGTTCAGATGTTGCGACGTCACACTTTTGCATTATAAAAAAAATGTTAGAAAACGAATTTTAGACGTTATTTCGCGTTTTAGAGAACTGTTTTAATAAATTGTAATAGTTTAGACAAGATTTTAAACAAGTTAATTAAAAAAGTCTAGTGACATTTATGCGCAATTTCCTTATGTTATCTAAAAATAGCTCTGACGTATAATGCTGGGGTGCGTTCAAGCTAGAAGAACGATCGGTTTGTAGGTGTTTATGTAATTTTAAAATTTGTGACCGAACGAGAGGATATTTTTGAAAACTTTCTTCGGCAATATTGTTCTAAATTATGGCAGGAATCGATTGGTACATGTTTCAAGTCGCTAAGTGGTCTGGTTGCCGAGATATTGGCCAAAAACTGAATTTTTTCGAAGTTTTTTGGCTTTTCCGGGAAATACATGAAAGAAACCCGGAATTTTTATGGCCTATGCTCATTCTCGTAACTTGCTTAACATAATTGCTTTTGGAACTAGTCATCGATATTGCTTCGTTGAGGAGGAGATAGGACTTAAAGCCCGGACACACATTCATCCATACATTCATTCATTCATTCATTCATCCATCCATTCCCAGAAATGACGAGTTAATAAACGCAATTCTCCAGAATGGAAATTGCGCTAAAAAATATCGATGTTTAAAAAGAATTCAACTGCAATTTTGAGGGGGGGGGGGGGTTGTAGGTTGAGGTGTGACGTCATTTTAGGGGGGAGGGGTCTGGCTTTTTGTGACGACGTGTGACGGAGGGTAGGGGGGAGGTAAAAATCGTCAAAAAAGCGTGACGTCATTTATGGATGACCCCTAAGGGTTGGGTGTAATTTATCCACTTGATACTTTTGAATTAACAGTCGCACACTCTGTACCTTCAGTTCCAGCTATGGGCTCTGGCATATCCATGGTACGCCCAACCATCCACGCATTTTATTTCAATTCAAGTTTCATTGAACAAAAACATTTAGTGCGACTCTCATAGAACTTTACCTCAAATAATTTACAAAATGCCCTGAGCCCCAGTCAAGAAAACATGTTCCATTTTAGTAAAGTATTTATTTTTTCGCAACTAGAAAGTCTTTATCAAAGCTTTTAACGTCTAGAGTTTTTACGAAAACGTGTACCTGTTAACATCTTTCAAAGATAGAACAACTCAGCTTTTTATAGGATTTTTAAAAATAGTATACCTATACTGTAAAAATACAAAACAATTCTTTTTGGGTTTTTAAAATTTAAAAAAAATGTCATTGCAGACGTGGATGTGTGGAGGCAGCATCGAGATCGTCCCCTGCTCACACGTGGGTCACATGTACCGACCCACCTTCCCCTACACCTGGGGGGACAAGCCCTTCACCCTCCAGAGAAACTGTATGAGGATAGCCGAGGTCTGGATGGATGACTATAAGAAGGTGTATCAGGATCGTCTGGGTGATATTAGGGTAGGTGGGTCGTTGGGGTGTAGGGGTAGGTGGGTCTTTGGGGTGTAGGGGTAGGTGGGTCTTTGGGGTGTAGGGGTAGGTTGGTCGTGGGAGGGTATATGTGATAGGTGGGTCATTGGGGGTAGGTGGGTCATTGGGGATGTAGGGGTAAGTGGGTCTTTGGGGTGTAGGGGTAGGTGGGTCGTTGGGGTGTAGGGGTAGGTTGGTCGTGGGAGGGTATATGTGATAGGTGGGTCATTGGGGGTAGGTGGGTCATTGGGGATGTAGGGGTAAGTGGGTCTTTGGGGTGTAGGGGTAGGTTGGTCGTGGGAGGGTATATGTGATAGGTGGGTCATTGGGGGTAGGTGGGTCATTGGGGATGTAGGGGTAAGTGGGTCTTTGGGGTGTAGGGGTAGGTGGGTCGTTGGGGTGTAGGGGTAGGTGGGTCTTTGGGGTGTAGCGGTAGGTGGGTCGTTGGGGTGTAGGGGTAGGTGGGTCTTTGGGGTGTAGGGGTAGGTGGGTTTTTGGGGTGTAGTGGTAGGTGGGTCTTTGGGGTGTAGGGGTAGTTGGGTCTTTGGGGTGTAGGGGTAGGTGGGTCTTTGGGGTGTAGGGGTAGGTGGGTCTTTGGGGTGTAGTGGTAGGTGGGTCTTTGGGGTGTAGGGGTAGGTGGGTCTTTGGGGTGTAGTGGTAGGTGGGTCTTTGGGGTGTAGGGGTAGGTGGGTCTTTGGGGTGTAGGGGTAGGTGGGTCTTTGGGGTGTAGGGGTAGGTGGGTCTTTGGGGTGTAGGGGTAGGTGGGTCTTTGGGGTGTAGTGGTAGGTGGGTCTTTGGGGTGTAGGGGTAGGTGGGTCTTTGGGGTGTAGTGGTAGGTGGGTCTTTGGGGTGTAGGGGTAGGTGGGTCTTTGGGGTGTAGGGGTAGGTGGGTCTTTGGGGTGTAGGGGTAGGTGGGTCTTTGGGGTGTAGTGGTAGGTGGGTCTTTGGGGTGTAGGGGTAGGTGGGTCGTTGGGGTGTAGGGGTAGGTGGGTCTTTGGGTTGTAGGGGTAGGTGGGTCTTTGGGGTGTAGGGGTAGGTGGGTCTTTGGGGTGTAGTGGTAGGTGGGTCTTTGGGGTGTAGGGGTAGGTGGGTCTTTGGGGTGTAGGGGTAGGTGGGTCTTTGGGGTGTAGGGGTAGGTGGGTCTTTGGGGTGTAGGGGTAGGTGGGTCTTTGGGGTGTAGGGGTAGGTGGGTCTTAGGGGTGTAGGGGTAGGTGGGTCTTTGGGGTGTAGTGGTAGGTGGGTCTTTGGGGTGTAGGGGTAGGTGGGTCTTTGGGGTGTAGTGGTAGGTGGGTCTTTGGGGTGTAGGGGTAGGTGGGTCTTTGGGGTGTAGGGGTAGGTGGGTCTTTGGGGTGTAGGGGTAGGTGGGTCTTTGGGGTGTAGGGGTAGGTGGGTCGTGGGGGTGTAGGGGTAGGTGGGTCTTTGAGGGGTAGGGGTAGGTGGGTCTTTGGGGTGTAGGGGTAGGTGGGTCTTTGGGGTGTAGTGGTAGGTGGGTCTTTGGGGTGTAGGGGTAGGTGGGTCTTTGGGGTGTAGTGGTAGGTGGGTCTTTGGAGTGTAGGGGTAGGTGGGTCGTGGGTCGTGTGGGGGTGTAGGGGTAGGTAGGTTGTGGGGGTGTAGGGGTAGGTGGGTCGTGGGGGTGTAGGGGTAGGTGGGTCTTTGGGGTGTAATGGTAGGTTGATCTAATATACAGTTAGGTGGGTCGTTGGAGGTATATTGGTACGTGGGTTGTTATTTATATGGGAGTCGTTGTGTCAGATATACGGGTAGATGGCTCTAGTCGTTGGTTATATAGGGTAATTGTGTCTTATATGCGGCTAGGTTGGTTTAAGGGTAGGTGGGATATTGAGAATATAGGTGTAGGTGTATCGTACATGCAAATGAGTTTTTGTTAAAATACAGATAGGTGGGTTGTTATAAATATACGGTAGATTGATGATTCAATAGTGCAATACCAAGTTCCAAACTGTTCAGCCAAACTCCACAAAAGGACAGACTGTAGAGATTACGGTTATCACGTGACATGTCACATGTGTCACCCTCAGGGCAAGTTGGACATTGGTGACGTCAGCGCCAGACGTGACCTCAGGAACCGCCTGCAGTGCCAGAGTTTTGATTGGTTCGTCAAGGTCGTGTACCCGGAGCTGTACATCCCGTACAACACGTCAGCCACGGGTTGGGTGAGTACATGTGGGGTTGGTGTGGGGGTTGGTGTGGTGGTGGTGTGTGGTTGGTGTGTTGTTGGGTGAGTACATGTGTGGTTGGTGTGTGGTTGGTGTGGGGTTGGTGTGGGGTTGGTGAGTGGTTGGGTGAGTACATGTGGGGTTGGTGTGTGGTTGGTGTGTGGTTGGTGTGGGGTTGGTGTGTGGTTGGGTGAGTACATGTAGGGTTGGTGTGGGGTTGGTGTGGGGTTGGTGTGGGGTTGGTGTGGGGTTGGTGTGGGGTTGGTGTGGGGTTGGTGTGGGGTTGGTGTAGGGTTGGTGTATGGTTGGTGTGGGGTTGGTGTAGGGTTGGTGTGGGGTTGGTGTGTGGTTGGTGTGTGGTTGGTGTGGGGTTGGTGTGGGGTTGGTGTGGGGTTGGTGTAGGGTTGGTGTAGTGTTGGTGTGGGGTTGGTGTAGGGTTGGTGTGTGGTTGGTGTGTGGTTGGTGTATGGTTGGTGTGTGGTTAATGTAGAGTTGGTGTGGATTTGGTGTGTGGTTGGTGTGGGGGTGGGTGTGTGGTTGGTGTGTGGTTGGTGTGGGGTTGGTGTGGGGTTAGTGTGTGGTTGGTGTGGGGCTGGTGTGTGGTTGGGTGTGTGGTTGGTGTGTGGTTGGTGTGTGGTTGGTGTGTGGTTGGTGTGTGGTTGGTGTGTGGATGGTGTGTTGTTGGTGTGGGGTTGGTGTGAGGTTGGTGTGGGGTTTGTGTGGTGTTGGTGTGGGGTTGGTGTGTGGTTGGTGTGTGGTTGGTGTGGGGTTGGTGTGGGGTTGGTGTGGGGTTGGTGTAGGGATGGTGTGGGGTTGGTGTAGGGTTGGTGTGGGGTTGGTGTGGGGGTTGGTGTGGGGGTTGGTGTGTGGTTGGTGTGGGATTGGTGTGGGGTTGGTGTGGGATTGGTGTGGGGTTGGTGTGGGGTTGGTGTGGGGTTGGTGTGGGGTTGGTGTGGGGTTGGTGTAGGGTTGGTGTAGGGTTGGTGTGTTGTAGGTGTATGGTTTGTGTGTGGTTGGTGTGGGGTTAGTGTGTGGTTTGTGTGGGGCTGTGTGGGAGCTGGTGTGGGGGTCGGTGTGGGGGTTGGTGTGGGGGTCGGTGTGTGGTTGGTGTGGGGTTGGTGTGTAGTTGGTGTGTGGTTGGTATGTGGTTGGGTAAGTACGTGTGTGGTTAGTGTGCGGTTGGTGTATGGTTGGTTTGTGGTTGGTGTGTGTTGGTTGGTGTGTGGTTGGTGTGTGCACATGTGGTTATTATATGGTTGGTGTTTGATTATGTGTAGTTAGTGTGTGTAAGTGTGTGGTTAGTATGCACATTTGTAGCTGGTGTGTGTATATGTGTGTTTGGTTTAAAATTTATCGTTAATTTGTATACAGGTTTTATTAGTGTGTGTATGCGTGTGTGTGTTTGTTCGGTTTATTTACAAGTATTTGTTTGTTAACTTGTACATGTTTATCGCTGTGTACTAGATTCGTTATAAGGGAGTTATGATATTGCACCACTGTATAACTACAGCATAAACAAATTTTATGATTTTCACAAATGTTCGTTAAAACCTCCACACATCTTTTCTCTCACGCTGTTACTAACATACAGACATCTTAACACACCACCTTTTTGACTTACATGATACGGTACCATACTAACAAGACAGGTGCTATGTTCCTACAGGTGTCCAGCCTTGTTGACCCAGGTGTGTGTCTAACAAGAGAAGTCCACTGGAACAGTGCCGGACAGCCTGCGGGGGTGGCCAGGTGTGACGCATGGAATGCTCATCAGGTAAACTTTGGTGCCATAGCACGTGACTGAGTGAGTAGTTAGAGATGGTAGGGTAGTGGCTGTTAGAGGTGGTAGTGGCTGTTAGAGGTGGTAGTGGCTGTTAGAGGTGGTAGGGTAGTGGCTGTTAGAGGTGGTAGTGGCTGTTAGAGGTGGTAGTGGCTGTTAGAGGTGGTAGGGTAGTGGCTGTTAGAGGCGGTAGTGGCTGTTAGAGGTGGTAGTGGCTGTTAGAGGTGGTAGGGTAGTGGCTGTTAGAGGTGGTAGTGGCTGTAAGAGGTGGTAGTGGCTGTTAGAGGTGGTAGGGTAGTGGCTGTTAGAGGTGGTAGTGGCTGTTAGAGGTGGTAGTGGCTGTTAGAGGTGGTAGTGGCTGTTAGAGGTGGTAGGGTAGTGGCTGTTAGAGGTGGTAGGGTAGTGGCTGTTAGAGGTGGTAGTGGCTGTTAGAGGTGGTAGTGGCTGTTAGAGCTGGTAGGGTAGTGGCTGTTAGAGGTGGTAGGGTAGTGGCTGTTTGGTAGGGTAGTGGCTGTTAGAGGTGGTAGTGGCTGTTAGAGGTGGTAGTGGCTGTTAGAGGTGGTAGGGTAGTGGCTGTTAGAGGTGGTAGGGTAGTGGCTGTTAGAGGTGGTAGTGGCTGTTAGAGGTGGTAGGGTAGTGGCTGTTAGAGGTGGTAGGGTAGTGGCTGTTAGAGGTGGTAGGGTAGTGGCTGTTAGAGGTGGTAGTGGCTGTTAGAGGTGGTAGTGGCTGTTAGAGGTGGTAGGGTAGTGGCTGTTAGAGGTGGTAGTGGCTGTTAGAGGTGGTAGTGGCTGTTAGAGGTGGTAGTGGCTGTTAGAGGTGGTAGGGTAGTGGCTGTTAGAGGTGGTAGTGGCTGTTAGAGGTGGTAGTGGCTGTTAGAGGTGGTAGGGTAGTGGCTGTTAGAGGCGGTAGTGGCTGTTAGAGGTGGTAGGGTAGTGGCTGTTAGAGGTGGTAGGGTAGTGGCTGTTAGAGGTGGTAGTGGCTGTTAGAGGTGGTAGTGGCTGTTAGAGGTGGTAGTGGCTGTTAGAGGTGGTAGGGTAGTGGCTGTTAGAGGTGGTAGTGGCTGTTAGAGGTGGTAGTGGCTGTTAGAGGTGGTAGGGTAGTGGCTGTTAGAGGTGGTAGGGTAGTGGCTGTTTGGTAGGGTAGTGGCTGTTAGAGGTGGTAGTGGCTGTTAGAGGTGGTAGGGTAGTGGCTGTTTGGTAGGGTAGTGGCTGTTAGAGGTGGTAGTGGCTGTTAGAGGTGGTAGTGGCTGTTAGAGGTGGTAGGGTAGTGGCTGTTAGAGGTAGTAGTGTAGTGGCTGTTAGAGGTGGTAGTGGCTGTTAGAGGTGGTAGAGTAGTGGCTGTTAGAGGTGGTAGGGTAGTGGCTGTTAGAGGTGGTAGGGTAGTGGCTGTTAGAGGTGGTAGGGTAGTGGCTGTTAGAGGTGGTAGGGTAGTGGCTGTTAGAGGTGGTAGTGGCTGTTAGAGGTGGTAGGGTAGTGGCTGTTAGAGGTGGTAGGGTAGTGGCTGTTAGAGGTGGTAGTGGCTGTTAGAGGTGGTAGGGTAGTGGCTGTTTGGTAGGGTAGTGGCTGTTAGAGGTGGTAGTGGCTGTTAGAGGTGGTAGGGTAGTGGCTGTTTGGTAGGGTAGTGGCTGTTAGAGGTGGTAGTGGCTGTTAGAGGTGGTAGGGTAGTGGCTGTTAGAGGTGGTAGGGTAGTGGCTGTTAGAGGTGGTAGTGGCTGTTAGAGGCGGTAGTGGCTGTTAGAGGTGGTAGGGTAGTGGCTGTTAGAGGTAGTAGTGTAGTGGCTGTTAGAGGTGGTAGTGGCTGTTAGAGGTGGTAGGGTAGTGGCTGTTAGAGGTGGTAGGGTAGTGGCTGTTAGAGGTGGTAGTGGCTGTTTGGTAGGGTAGTGGCTGTTAGAGGTGGTAGGGTAGTGGCTGTTAGAGGTAGTAGTGTAGTGGCTGTTAGAGGTGGTAGTGGCTGTTAGAGGTGGTAGAGTAGTGGCTGTTAGAGGTGGTAGGGTAGTGGCTGTTAGAGGTGGTAGGGTAGTGGCTGTTAGAGGTGGTAGGGTAGTGGCTGTTAGAGGTGGTAGGGTAGTGGCTGTTAGAGGTGGTAGTGGCTGTTAGAGGTGGTAGGGTAGTGGCTGTTAGAGGTGGTAGGGTAGTGGCTGTTAGAGGTGGTAGTGGCTGTTAGAGGTGGTAGGGTAGTGGCTGTTTGGTAGGGTAGTGGCTGTTAGAGGTGGTAGTGGCTGTTAGAGGTGGTAGGGTAGTGGCTGTTTGGTAGGGTAGTGGCTGTTAGAGGTGGTAGTGGCTGTTAGAGGTGGTAGGGTAGTGGCTGTTAGAGGTGGTAGGGTAGTGGCTGTTAGAGGTGGTAGGGTAGTGGCTGTTAGAGGTGGTAGTGGCTGTTAGAGGCGGTAGTGGCTGTTAGAGGTGGTAGGGTAGTGGCTGTTAGAGGTAGTAGTGTAGTGGCTGTTAGAGGTGGTAGTGGCTGTTAGAGGTGGTAGGGTAGTGGCTGTTAGAGGTGGTAGGGTAGTGGCTGTTAGAGGTGGTAGTGGCTGTTTGGTAGGGTAGTGGCTGTTAGAGGTGGTAGGGTAGTGGCTGTTAGAGGTGGTAGTGGCTGTTAGAGGTGGTAGTGGCTGTTAGAGGTGGTAGGGTAGTGGCTGTTAGAGGTGGTAGTGGCTGTTTGGTAGGGTAGTGGCTGTTAGAGGTGGTAGGGTAGTGGCTGTTAGAGGTGGTATTGGCTGTTAGAGGTGGTAGTGGCTGTTAGAGGTGGTAGGGTAGTGGCTGTTAGAGGTGGTAGTGGCTGTTAGAGGTGGTAGTGGCTGTTAGAGGTGGTAGGGTAGTGGCTGTTAGAGGTGGTAGGGTAGTGGCTGTTAGAGGTGGTAGTGGCTGTTAGAGGCGGTAGTGGCTGTTAGAGGTGGTAGTGGCTGTTAGAGGTGGTAGGGTAGTGGCTGTTAGAGGTGGTAGGGTAGTGGCTGTTAGAGGTGGTAGTGGCTGTTAGAGGTGGTAGGGTAGTGGCTGTTAGAGGTGGTAGGGTAGTGGCTGTTAGAGGTGGTAGTGGCTGTTAGAGGCGGTAGTGGCTGTTAGAGGTGGTAGGGTAGTGGCTGTCTAGTTAGAGGTGGTAGGGTAGTGGCTGTTTGGTAGTGTAGTGGCTGTTAGAGGTGGTAGTGGCTGTTAGAGGTGGTAGGGTAGTGGCTGTCTAGTTAGAGGTGGTAGGGTAGTGGCTGTTAGAGGTGGTAGTGGCTGTTAGAGGTGGTAGTGGCTGTTAGAGGTGGTAGGGTAGTGGCTGTCTAGTTAGAGGTGGTAGGGTAGTGGCTGTTTGGTAGTGTAGTGGCTGTTAGAGGTGGTAGTGGCTGTTAGAGGTGGTAGGGTAGTGGCTGTCTAGTTAGAGGTGGTAGGGTAGTGGCTGTTTGGTAGGGTAGTGGCTGTTAGAGGTGGTTGTGGCTGTTAGAGGTGGTAGTGGCTGTTAGAGGTGGTAGGGTAGTGGCTGTTAGAGGTGGTAGTGGCTGTTAGAGGTGGTAGTGGCTGTTAGAGGTGGTAGGGTAGTGGCTGTTAGAGGCGGTAGGGTAGTGGCTGTTAGAGGTGGTAGTGGCTGTTAGAGGCGGTAGTGGCTGTTAGAGGTGGTAGGGTAGTGGCTGTTAGAGGTGGTAGTGGCTGTTAGAGGTGGTAGGGTAGTGGCTGTCTAGTTAGAGGTGGTAGTGGCTGTTAGAGGTGGTAGTGGCTGTTAGAGGTGGTAGGGTAGTGGCTGTCTAGATAGAGGTGGTAGGGTAGTGGCTGTCTAGTTAGAGGTGGTAGTGGCTGTTAGAGGTGGTAGTGGCTGTTAGAGGTGGTAGGGTAGTGGCTGTTAGAGGTGGTAGGGTAGTGGCTGTTAGAGGTGGTAGTGGCTGTTAGAGGTGGTAGTGGCTGTTAGAGGTGGTAGTGGCTGTTAGAGGCGGTAGTGGCTGTTAGAGGCGGTAGTGGCTGTTAGAGGTGGTAGGGTAGTGGCTGTTAGAGGTGTTAGGGTAGTGGCTGTTAGAGGTGGTAGTGGCTGTTAGAGGTGGTAGGGTAGTGGCTGTCTAGTTAGAGGTGGTAGGGTAGTGGCTGTTAGAGGTGGTAGTGGCTGTTAGAGGTGGTAGTGGCTGTTAGAGGTGGTAGGGTAGTGGCTGTCTAGTTAGAGGTGGTAGGGTAGTGGCTGTTTGGTAGTGTAGTGGCTGTTAGAGGTGGTAGTGGCTGTTAGAGGTGTCAGTGGCTGTTAGAGGTGGTAGGGTAGTGGCTGTCTAGTTAGAGGTGGTAGGGTAGTGGCTGTTTGGTAGTGTAGTGGCTGTTAGAGGTGGTAGTGGCTGTTAGAGGCGGTAGGGTAGTGGCTGTTAGAGGTGGTAGGGTAGTGGCTGTTAGAGGTGGTAGTGGCTGTTAGAGGTGGTAGTGGCTGTTAGAGGTGGTAGGGTAGTGGCTGTTAGAGGTTGTAGGGTAGTGGCTGTTTGGTAGTGTAGTGGCTGTTAGAGGTGGTAGTGGCTGTTAGAGGTGGTAGTGGCTGTTATAGGTGGTAGGGTAGTGGCTGTTAGAGGTGGTAGGGTAGTGGCTGTTAGAGGTGGTAGTGGCTGTTAGAGGTGGTAGGGTAGTGGCTGTTAGAGGTGGTAGTGGCTGTTAGAGGTGGTAGGGTAGTGGCTGTCTAGTTAGAGGTGGTAGGGTAGTGGCTGTTAGAGGCGGTAGTGGCTGTTAGAGGCGGTAGTGGCTGTTAGAGGTGGTAGGGTAGTGGCTGTTAGAGGTGGTAGGGTAGTGGCTGTTAGAGGTGGTAGTGGCTGTTAGAGGTGGTAGTGGCTGTTAGAGGTGGTAGTGGCTGTTAGAGGTGGTAGTGGCTGTTAGAGGTGGTAGGGTAGTGGATGTCTAGTTAGAGGTGGTAGGGTAGTGGCTGTTAGAGGTGGTAGTGGCTGTTAGAGGTGGTAGTGGCTGTTAGAGGTGGTAGGGTAGTGGCTGTTAGAGGTGGTAGGGTAGTGGCTGTTAGAGGTGGTAGTGGCTGTTAGAGGTGGTAGGGTAGTGGCTGTTAGAGGTGGTAGTGGCTGTTAGAGGTGGTAGGGTAGTGGCTGTTAGAGGTGGTAGGGTAGTGGCTGTCTAGTTAGAGGTGGTAGGGTAGTGGCTGTTTGGTAGGGTAGTGGCTGTTAGAGGTGGTAGGGTAGTGGCTGTTAGAGGTGGTAGTGGCTGTCTAGTTAGAGGTGGTAGGGTAGTGGCTGTTTGGTAGGGTAGTTGCTGTTAGAGGTGGTAGGGTAGTGGCTGTTAGAGGTGGTAGGGTAGTGGCTGTCTAGTTAGAGGTGGTAGTGGCTGTTAGAGGCGGTAGGGTAGTGGCTGTTAGAGGTGGTAGGGTAGTGGCTGTTAGATGTGGTAGGGTAGTGGCTGTTAGAGGTGGTAGGGTAGTGGCTGTTAGAGGTGGTAGTGGCTGTTAGAGGTGGTAGTGGCTGTTAGAGGTGGTAGGGTAGTGGCTGTTAGAGGTGGTAGGGTAGTGGCTGTCTAGTTAGAGGTGGTAGGGTAGTGGCTGTCTAGTTAGAGGTGGTAGGGTAGTGGCTGTTAGAGGTGGTAGGGTAGTGGCTGTTAGAGGTGGTAGTGGCTGTTAGAGGTGGTAGGGTAGTGGCTGTTAGAGGTGGTAGTGTAGTGGCTGTTAGAGGTGGTAGTGGCTGTTAGAGGTGGTAGTGGCTGTTAGAGGTGGTAGGGTAGTGGCTGTTAGAGGTGGTAGTGGCTGTTAGAGGTGGTAGTGGCTGTTAGAGGTGGTAGTGGCTGTTAGAGGTGGTAGGGTAGTGGCTGTTAAAGGCGTTAGTGTAGTGGCTGTTAGAGGCGGTAGTGGCTGTTAGAGGTGGTAGGGTAGTGGCTGTTAGAGGTGGTAGGGTAGTGGCTGTTAGAGGTGGTAGTGGCTGTTAGAGGTGGTAGTGGCTGTTAGAGGTGGTAGGGTAGTGGCTGTCTAGTTAGAGGTGGTAGGGTAGTGGCTGTTAGAGGTGGTAGTGGCTGTTAGAGGTGGTAGTGGCTGTTAGAGGTGGTAGGGTAGTGGCTGTTAGAGGTGGTAGGGTAGTGGCTGTTAGAGGTGGTAGGGTAGTGGCTGATAGAGGTGGTAGGGTAGTGGCTGTTAGAGGTGGTAGTGGCTGTTAGAGGTGGTAGTGTAGTGGCTGTTAGAGGTGGTAGTGGCTGTTAGAGGTGGTAGTGGCTGTTAGAGGTGGTAGTGGCTGTTAGAGGTGGTAGGGTAGTGGCTGTCTAGTTAGAGGTGGTAGGGTAGTGGCTGTTAGAGGTGGTAGTGGCTGTTAGAGGTGGTAGTGGCTGTTAGAGGTGGTAGGGTAGTGGCTGTTAGAGGTGGTAGGGTAGTGGCTGTTAGAGGTGGTAGTGTAGTGGCTGTTAGAGGTTGTAGTGGCTGTTAGAGGTGGTAGTGGCTGTTAGAGGTGGTAGTGGCTGTTAGAGGTGGTAGGGTAGTGGCTGTTAGAGGTGGTAGGGTAGTGGCTGTTAGAGGTGGTAGGGTAGTGGCTGTCTAGTTAGACGTGGTAGGGTAGTGGCTGTTAGAGGTGGTAGTGGCTGTTAGATGTGGTAGGGTAGTGGCTGTTAGAGGCGGTAGGGTAGTGGCTGTTAGAGGCGGTAGTGGCTGTTAGAGGTGGTAGGGTAGTGGCTGTTAGAGGTGGTAGTGGCTGTCTAGTTAGAGGTGGTAGGGTAGTGGCTGTTAGAGGTGGTAGGGTAGTGGCTGTTAGAGGTGGTAGGGTAGTGGCTGTTAGAGGTGGTAGTGGCTGTTAGAGGTGGTAGTGGCTGTTAGAGGTGGTAGGGTAGTGGCTGTTAGAGGTGGTAGTTGCTGTTAGAGGTGGTAGGGTAGTGGCTGTTAGAGGCGGTAGGGTAGTGGCTGTTAGAGGTGGTAGGGTAGTGGCTGTCTAGTTAGAGGTGGTAGTGGCTGTTAGAGGTGGTAGGGTAGTGGCTGTCTAGTTAGAGGTGGTAGTGGCTGTTAGAGGTGGTAGGGTAGTGGCTGTTAGAGGTGGTAGGGTAGTGGCTGTTAGAGGTGGTAGGGTAGTGGCTGTCTAGTTAGAGGTGGTAGTGGCTGTTAGAGGTGGTAGGGTAGTGGCTGTTAGAGGTGGTAGGGTAGTGGCTGTCTAGTTAGAGGTGGTAGTGGCTGTTAGAGGTGGTAGGGTAGTGGCTGTCTAGTTAGAGGTGGTAGTGGCTGTTAGAGGTGGTAGGGTAGTGGCTGTTAGAACTCAAGCGATTTGTCCCTGATGTACATAGCTTAAAATCTTGGCACCCCAGAACTTACAGTCTTGGTAGATCTGAGCTTAAAATTGTTAGTACTTCTGAGCTAAAAGTCTTAGTATTCCGTAGCTTAAATTTTTGGTAATGTATAATACAAAAGTTACGACAGTCAAAAGTGTGTGAACCATCTTAGTGTATGGCCTACAGCCAGAAGACCAGTGGTATTCACTGGAATGTTAAAAAGGTTATACCAGTAGCTTGATCTCAGCACTTATCCACCAAGGAAACCGGTGGTACCCTATAAAGTAAACTAGACCTACCCGGTCATCCCTTGGATAACTGTGGGTTTCGGGGGTCATCCATAATTAACATCATGTCTGTCACTTATCGTCACAAAAAAACCAGACCCCACATTCAAAAAGACGATTTTTATCTTTTAAAAACACCGATTTCGGCTGAGCATAGGTCACACTATCCCTTCATATATGACGTCACAGGTGACCTACTCAACTCTACTTCACCTGCCCAGTGTCCCGCCAAGTCTCAGACAACATGTTTTTATCGTTTAAAAAACGATTCCAGCCGAGCATGTCTCTGACCACAATATCCCTTCATATGCTTAGGACAACGAAACAGATGAACTCTACTTCACCTGCCCTGTATCCCACCAAGTTCAGATAGTCAAATGTATCATTCACATCTAAAACAAAATTGATTTTTTTTTACGTTGACGTTATATGTATAGAACCCGTGCCACCCGCATTAAAGCCTATTACACTAACAACTTAGCTGTCTAGACTCGTGACGTCACTGATGTTTTTGTGTGCTATAAGTTAATACTATGTGTCTCCTTATGCAACTTGATTTACGCGCATAGGCCCTATCTACATCTAAGTCTAGTAACTTTCAAATTAAATTTTTAAATCTTAAATTAGCCAATTGCATAGCTAAACAAACAAAGATTTATATTAAATAATGAAGGTCTGAAATAGATTCTAGATGTATAATTTACATTAGGCCTAAGTGTAGATCTAGAATTTACGTAAAGTCTAGTGACCTAGAATCTAGATCTAGATCTAGATTCATAACTTTTTCTTCCTTCGACAGCTGATCTGTAGATCTAGAGAAGTTTATTGTAAAACTAAATGAAAAAGACAGTTGAAAATTGATATAAGTGTTGGAACGTAATAAAAACAGCAAACGGACGTATTGTTAAAGTTATAGCCGACAGAAAAGTAGCTTTAGAACGCGTTAAACATTGGAATGGGACACAATCTTCTTTGATAGAAGCCGCCATTGTTGATGTAAAAAGTAAACAAATCATGTGACTTCACTATTCACTCAAAGTAAAGTCGTTTTTCTAAACTTTTAAAATTAATGTGGTTAATCTACCAATGAATAAATCAATAAATTAATTATCGTCTTTAAATAAATTTGTGATTAACAGTCTGTCTGAAAACAAAAATTGTTCTCTACCTACATACTATTTTACAGCTCTACACGTAGTGCAGATTCCCTCCAGTAGCCAATCAGACAAACAAAAAAACAAACAAATAAATATTCAAACATGTAAACAAACTTGAGTTTTAGTAGTATTTAGATATCCTTTTCACTTTTTTTTCAGCATTTCTTCCTAAGTAAAGAAAGCCAAATCCGCCGAGACAACGGTTGCCTTGACTACAATAAATCAACCAATCAAATTGTGGCGAATTTTTGTCACGGGACCAAAGCCCAGTGGGTCTACACACCTGTAAGTTATAGTGACGTCACATATCACATCCATGTTCTACTAGCCATGTTCTAATGGCAATGTTCTAGCTAAAAACTTTTTCTTATATTTATCCAGCAAAACACAATCAAGCTGCTGGAAGCTGACCTCTGTGTGGCCTTGACCCCGGACAAACAGACCGTCGTCATGGCAACGTGCAACGTCACAGACACCCTACAACAGTGGAACTGGCCGCGGCGAACGCCCTTTGACCCCGTGTGATGACGTCACTGGGGATTTCCCATTTAAGTTTTAATTTTTTCCTGAGTTTTGAGGACAGAAATTTATGTCTAGTATAGTCAGAGGCATAGCGAGGGGGGGGGGGGACATATGTCCCCGGGCGCCGACCTTAGGGGGGGGCGCCAAATTGAAAGTTTGAGGGGGGTGCAAATGAAAAGTTCGAGGGGGGGGGTGCAAATCGTAAGTTTGTCCCCGGGCGCCGGGAAGGGTCGCTACGCCTCTGAGTATAGTTTAGTGTTGTTAAATTAAATACATCAGCGTTCCTGGAGATTTTGTAATAGGTGTTTCGTTCACAAACTATTTGGCTTTTATTTTTAGAGTTTAGGGAAGTGTATTTTATATTGGTCTAATTTAAGCCTTGCGATTCTTAAACGAAGACAGCGAGTTCTTTTGTAAACTAGAGTTTTTTAAAACGAATTAAATTTTTACGTTTATTACTATGATGTAACTAGATCTATATATTAATAGAAAATTGAAACATTATTTATAACAATAGCTTTAATTATAAGACTAACCTTAATATCAAACCAATCTTAAACGTCTGTATGTGACTAATTAATAAACCAATGACTAATTAATAAGCTAAATGATCGTCGAATAGTCGATCGATATAGTTGTTATCCGATTCTCGGAAATAACTGTATCTTCAATGTTAGACTAATGTTATAATTGGTTTTGTGTATTTGTAATTTTAGAGTTATATCCTGACTTCAAATATAATAATATTTTCAATACTAGACACATTTTAGAGTAATTGTAGAGTTTTATTCCGACTTCAAATATAATGGTATCTTTACGGAAGACACTTTTTGAGCAATTTTAGAGTTATGTTCCGACTTTAAATTTAATGGTATCTTAAATAATAGAAAAATTTAGAGCAAACTTAGAGTACTATTCCGACTTCAAATATAATTGGATCTGTAATGGTAGAAAAATGTAATGATTGGTAATGTCTATTACCAATGCGAGAATTACACCGGGTAGTTTATTAACTTCCGGTTTTTGTGTCTGACTTAAAGACTTCCTGTTCGCGAACATTCTCAACACTGCTGTCTGTGAGTGCGTCTATTTAAAGATGGTTGTCTATGTGATTTGATTATGTGTTTTGTATGGCATTTCTTGGTTGTTACACACTACTTATGATTACTATGATGGAGATCAGTGGGAATTCATTCAAAATTTTTTTTGTGTGTTTATAAATGGATGTTGTGATGGAATAAGTTTAATTGGAATTTTGTTATTTGGAGTTTTGTTATTTGAGTTTGTATATAGGCCTACCTTTTAAAACAATAACTGAAATATTGGAATGGTAAAAAAAAATGTTGCTCACTGAATCTATGCAATAAGATATTAAAATGCATTTATGTTGCTGTTTTGTTTTTGTCTTCGAAATTTATTTGCTGGTTGAAATCACGTGGTTTGTCGCGTGATTTATTTTAAACTTGCGGCTTACGATTGGTTGAAATTCTCTTTTTTTTCCAGCCAATCAGGTGAAGTTTGTCGAAAAGTGTTCAACAGGTTTAGTATTTATATCAGACCGAGAATTCATAATGTTAACACAGATAAACTTCATAATATGGTTAACACACAAGGCTTTAGACGGTCAACAGAGCAAAAAAAAAAACACATTACTCTTAAAATAATTGCTTTATTGCGTTGAAAAAACAACAACAAAAAACCAATCCACAACACACAATGCTTATAAACCTTTGATCCATTTTTGAAACATACCTTGTTGATTAAACAATCTCATGTACATTAAATTCGACAAGCTACATACAAGTTTTCTATATCACAGGTGAAGTGCCTTGTGAAAATATGTATTGTTTTGTTCTTGTGATGTTAACCTGTTATCAGAAATTTGAAATTAAACCTATTTTTCTGTTTTTCGGAAAATAATTTTTTTAACGCATACCATTTGTTTCATTTTGTATTTTTTAAAATGTGTTCGTTGGATTGTGATGAAACTTTGTGTACTTGCTTAGAGGTGAACAAGCTAAATAATAACGATAAAGTTTTTGAGAAAAGTGATATGTGAGTTAAAATATATTTTTTTTAGTGGTAACTGAAACCGAAAAGTGACAGTTTGCGAACAATTTATAATGTCTGTAAGTAAAAATACACAGATTGAAGTTCCTAGTTACAGAAGTTTTTTTAAAAACACGTATTTCTGTGGGGTCACGTTTTTACTCTGTAGACCCCTAACCACAAACAAAAAAGGTGAAAATATGCGAAAAATTATTTTTTAAAAATTTTATAAGGGATATTTAAGTCTATCTGCACACACTGAAAGTGTTCTATCAGTAAAATTGTTCTTTTTGAAAAAAGTAATTTTGAACTTAGTTGACCCCCTTAATAAATTGCCTACATTGATTAAATTAAAAAAGTAAAGCATAAGGTGTTTTAAAAAGTTTTGAATCGTAGTTTTTTTCTCTTGTAAACGTATTCCTTTTATTAATAGTATCATTCATGTAGGGACGGCGTGGCCTAGCGGTAGAGAGCTTGACTCGAGTTTAAATCCGGGTTCAAGTCAGTAGAATGACCCTGAGTCCACCCAGCTCTGATAAGTACCGAACTCACGTTAGGGAAATACGTTTGTGCATAGTGCAGACCACACTACCCTTTGGATATGACGAGGTCACTCAAACAGATGAGCTCTTTTTCATCTGCCCCATGTGTCTTTGGCAGGAACGGTGATTACTCTCGACTTTTATACCCCGAAGCTCTAAGCTCCGGCCAGAGTTTCTTCCACGCATCTCATCGGAGGGGGCGAAGCCCCCCCCCCCCCCCCCCCCCCCCGAACGAAATGATATTTATATATTTTATATAGAAAATATATACTTTTACCAGTGTCCGCCCCCCCCCCCCGAACGAAATGAAATTTATATATTTTATATAGAAAATATATACTTTTACCAGTGTCCGCCCCCCCCCCCCCGAAGAAAGTCTACTGCCCCCCCCCCCGAAAATTTCAAGTGCCCCCCCCCCCCCCCCCCCCCGGAGAAAAAAGTCTGGAAGAAACACTGGCTCCGAGTTCTTCTAGAGTCTAGCCCAATACTATAAACGCTATAAATGTTTTAAAATACGACTAACATTAATCGATATGATACTTCTTATTTAACATCGTCAACCATCAGGTAACTACATGTAACAATGAGATCGGGAAAACAAGTATGAGATTGAGTAGAAGCTTAAAAATTGCAATACAAATACAATGTGTAGTTATTATCTAAGTTTAAAAGGAGCAGACATTGCTTAAACAATAGTAATAACTAATTACTAAGTCGTGAACTTGGATGTTCATTAACTTTTTAATGAACATAGTCAGCCCGTGAATAAAAACACACAACTTAAAGAAAATTAATTATATCAATCAACACATCTAATTAAGTAAACTGTTTTTCTTTTAAATTACGTAATTTCAAATTGATTGTGGGTTAAAAAGTTAATTCAAATGTTGTGACAGAAGATGAGACTGCAAGATTGTGATTCCACTTTCCCATAGTTGAAAGAGTTGGGAGAGCATTTTTTTTCTATGTTGATCTCGGTAGTTAGATCAGTTGAAAGATAAAAATTATATTACTTCTTGGTAAGTTTAGTGGTAAAGTCAACCCAAATGACTTTAACTACATAAATTCTTCTGTTTTGGTAGATTTGATGACAAAGTCAGCACAAATGACTTTACCCAACACTAAACCTTTTTGCCCTTCTTTGTTGAAGGAGGCAGTAGAGTCAGCCTGAATACCGACAAGGGTTTGGGGTCAAAGCGTACGGTTGTGTGGGGTTCTATTGTCTTAATTTGTAGGGTGTCGTTGGTCTTTAGCTCGAGAACCCCTGGAAAGTTAAAAATAGATCGGTTAGCTTGGGGGAGTTATATGCTGGAGGTAGTATAGGATTTTATACTGAGGTAGTATGGGATTTTATACTGAGGTAGTATGGGATTTTATACTGAGGTAATATGGGATTTTATACTGAGGTAGTATGGGATTTTATACTGAGGTAGTATGGGATTTTATACTGAGGTAGTATGGGATTTTATACTGAGGTAATATGGGATTTTATACTGAGGTAGTATGGGATTTTATACTGAGGTAGTATGGGATTTTATACTGAGGTAATATGGGATTTTATACTGAGGTAGTATGGGATTTTATACTGAGGTAGTATGGGATTTTATACTGAGGTAGTATGGGATTTTATACTGAGGTAGTATGGGATTTTATACTGAGGTAGTATGGGATTTTATACTGAGTTAGTATGGGATTTTATACTGAGTTAGTATGGGATTTTATACTGAGGTAATATGTGATTTTATACTGAGGAAATATGAATTTTGATACTGAGGTAGTATGGGATTTTATACTGAGGTAGTATGGGATTTTATACTGAGGTAATATGGACTTTTTTACTTAGGTAGTATGTGTGTATATACTGAGCTAGTATGAGATATTTTACTAAGGAATTATGGGATTTTACATCGTGCTAATATGTGCTTTTATACTAAAGGAATATGGGATTTTGTACTATTGAAATATGGTAATTTTATTTAGGAATTACGGAATATATTTACTGAATTATGGTATATGGCCATATCATTCTGAGAAACAATGAGAACTTATGAGCTATTGGACTTAGTTTTAACATCAATTGTTGGTAGTCGACCTTAAACATCATGAATACAATACAAGTAGTGGATTCATTTCGTTATTTAAACTCACAGAAGGTCATTTGACCATTGCTACATGTGAAAATAGATGAAACGTACCATTGTTAAAAGGGGTTATACGTTCCATTGTTAAAAGTGGTTAAACGTACCATTGTTAAAAGGGGTTAAACGTACCATTGTTAAAAGGGGTTAAACGTACCATTGTTAAAAGAGATGAAACGTACCATTGTTAAAAGGAGTTAAACGTACCATTTATGGTGCATATCCTGAAGCGTGTGACGTCCACGTTGGTGTTGGAGCTGGGGTACTTGTAGTAGAAGCCACCCCTGCGACATGCCAGGGTGGGCAGGTTGTTCTGGAAGATTCCAACAGAGTGGTTGAAGTCCTCGTCCACCAGGATAATCTGAGACGTCAAGACGTTTTTAATGACGTCAAGATGTTTTTAGGGACGTCAAGATCTTGTTAGTGACGTCAAATTGTTATGGAGGCCGAATATTTTGTGTGGACGGTACATTTTTGTCATGGACGTCAAATTAATGTTATGGGTGCTAAAGCTTCATACTATTCTGTAGACGTCATGTTATTGCCATAATACTGTAAATAATCTATTTGTAGACGTAAAATTGTTGTTATAAAAATCTAAATAACTTGGTGTGATACGTCAAATGATTTTGAGTCGTTATGAAACTGTTAGATCAGTTAAGCGTAGGACATTCGCAATTCGTCGATATCTGGAGCCTATTAGAAACGATGCTATGTCCTAGGTTGTTATTGTTCTGACACGGTGTCTATGAGCCTCTGACTACCCAGAAATTAGTAAAGGAGATTGGGGGGGGGGGGGGGGTCCAACTATGGACAACTAAAGAGAGGTGTAAGGGAGGGAAGTGACAGTTGGAGAGACTAGCCCTGGACAGAGACGTCTGGAAAGCTCTTGTCAGCTGCCTATGTCCCAGTAGGGACGACAGGCAAACAACAACAACAAAGGGAGAGAAGTGACACCAGTGCGGCTCTATACTGTGTTTGAAACATTTCCCGAGTGGAGATACCACCTAGGGACAATACGAGTGTAGAAGTAGTGTGGGCTACAGGGCATGTAAAGGGAGTACAACTGCTTCAGGGAAATCGGTAAATGCAGTGAGTATCAAAGAGTTCCCTTTTCCTTTTCATGGGAAAAGTGAAGTAGAGTTCACCTTCGTCTATGACCTCGACATATGAAGAGATAGTGTGGTCAACACTATGCCCAGCTGCCTTTTCTTTTCCCTAACGTAACTTAGGTACCCATCAGAGCTGGGTGAACTCAGGGACGTTCTACTGACTTAAAGTCGGATTCGAACTCGAGACTTTCGGTTTAGCAGTCAAGCGCTCTATCGCTAGGCCACGCCGTCCCTCAGTGACAAGTAGTCTAATATTCCGGTTCAGGTTAGGTACTCATTATAGCTGAGTAGACTCTGTACTATATACGGACACGAGTCTAAAGAAAACCTCGCAACATGAGCGCTTTACCACATCACCACGCCGTCCCTCATCGAGATTACAAAAAAAAAAAAAGAGCTTACCTCCAAACGAATAATAAAAATCCCAGATTTTTTAACGGTAAAGACGCCATTGATTTCGTCAGTCAGCTCCACCAATTTGGTACGGTTATCCGACATGGAGCTATTGGCCCTGTACAGCGTTAGTGCTGAGCCTGTTCGATAAAACATGCGAGTAAACGTGAACGCAGAGGCGTAGCGAGGGGGAGGGGGGTACATATGTCCTCGGGGCCGACAGTAAGGGGGCGCCAAAATGGGTTGTAAAAACAAATTAAAATCTCATTTTAGCTGCAGTTTTGCATTATAAATATTATAAATACATGGGGGAGGGGTGTGCTAATTGAAAGTTTGAGGGGGTTGCAAATTGAAATTTGAAAGGTTGTTCCCGAGGGGGGCGCCACATTGAAAGTTTGTCCCCGGGCGCCGGGAATGGTCGCTACGCCTCAGCGTGAACATAAAAAAAGTAAAGAATCCTCTTTAGACCTAACGATCCATTGGGCCGATAAAGTAGAGTTCATGTTCATCCCATATAAAGGGATAGTGTGGTCAGCACTATGCCCAGCTGCCTTTACTTTTCCCAACGTGAGTTAGGTACCCATCAGAGCTGATGAGATTTGAACCAGGATTTGAACTGGAGACTTTCGGGCTAGCACTAGGCCACGTAGTTAAACGTCAGCTTTAGCGTTAGATATACAACCAAGCTGAGCCAGCGATTAAGAGTTCGTATAACGAATCACGTTCGATGATTGGAGGCATCTACATTTAAATTTAATAGATTTTAGGAATGGAAATTTTCTAGGTAGGCCTATGTGAATTTTAAAACTCAAGGCTAGTATCACAATGAAAGCAACAGAACACAACGGTTGTAACTTACTGGCATTTTCATACTTCATTGTAGCCATTTGGCAAACTTTTGGACTTAGTGGAAGATTTTTGTCTATAAAGCATTCAGTATCTGCTTACAACAAATAAAACATTTCTTACAATCACAGTGTTTCTATATTTATAAGTTTAGAAAACTAAACTGTAAATTTATTCCAATTATAATAGTACGAAACCAAACATTTTGTAGCTCCGCAAATGCGTATTTAAAATAACATATCTGCGAATTCCTTTTTACAAGCTTTTATTTAACTCACTTCCTCTGTCGACAGTCTGTCGACAGTCTGTCGTCAGTCTAGATGGAAACGCAGGAGTGAAAATTCGGACAGTTCTACTTGACCGATACGATTCACAGTTGGCACGTGGGTCAAGACATGAAGACAATGCAATCTGAATCTAAATTTGACTTAATTGGATGCCTAATTAATTTTTTATGAATTAATTAAAATTTGGACCGAATTAGTAGGCATGTCTATCCAACCACACCACATACGTCATCGCGTTCAATCAGGTTTAATAGCTGCGCTATCACGTTCAATAGACGCGCAATGGTTTTTAGTCTTGTAACACTATTGCAAATAAAACATGTAAAGTACTGAAAAAAAAATTCATAAAAAACGTTTTAATAACAAGCTTTTATGTAATGATGCACTAAAAAGTAGAAAATAAATTATACACTACTATTTAAATTACTATAAAGAAAAGCGTGGGTCTCTTCTCAAATATTAGTAAAGGTATCCAATAGGTACTAAAGTACTAAAGTGACCCACGATTTTCTTAATAGTAATTTAAATAGTAGTGTATAATTTATTTTCTACTTTTTAGTGCATCATTACATAAAAGCTTGTTATTAAAACGTTTTTTATGAATTTTTTTTTACAAGCTTTTATTTAACTCACTTCCTCGTCATTCTGTCTGTCGTCAGTCGTCAGTCTAGATAGAAACGCAGGAGTGAAAATTCGGACAGTTCTACTTGACCGATACGATTCACAGTTGGCACGTTGGTCAAGACATGAAGACAATGCAATCTGAAACTAAATATGACTTAATTGGATGCCTTATTAATTTTTTATTAATTAATTAAAATTTGGACCGAATTATTAGGCATGTCTAGCCAACCACACACACGCGTCATCACGTTCAATAGCTGCGCCATCACGGTACATTCAATAGCTGCGCCATCACGTTCAGTAGGCGCGCAATGGTTTTTAGTCATGTAACTCTATTGTAAATAAAACATGTAAAGTACTGAAAAAAAATTCATAAAAAACGTTTTAATAACAAGCTTTTATGTAATAATGCACTAAAAAGTAGAAAATAAATTATACACTATTATTTAAATTACTATAAAGAAAAGCGTGGGTCTCTTCTCAAATATTAGTAAAGGTATCCAATCGGTACTAAAGTGACCCACGCTTTTCTTTATAGTAATTTAAATAATAGTGTATAATTTATTTTCTACTTTTTAGTGCATTATTACATAAAAGCTTGTTATTAAAACGTTTTTTATGATTTTTTTACAAGCTTTTATTTAACTCACTTCCTCTGTCTGTCGTCAGTCGTCATTTAGATCTAAACGGCCGAGCGAAATAGCAGGCACTTCTAACTGACAGATAGGGTTCTTAGTTGGAACGTGGGTCAAGACATGAAGACAATGCACCGTGACATTAAATGTGGCTTAATTGGATGCCTAATTAATTTTTTATGAATTAATTAAAATTTTGACCAAATTAGTAGGTATTTCTATCCAACTACTCCACACGCGTCATCACGTTCAATAGCGCGTCATCACGTTCAATAGGCGCGCAATGGTATTTCTTTATAGATATTTAAATAGTTGTGTATAATTTATTTTCTACTTTTTAGTGCATTATTACATAAAAGCTTGTTATTAAAACGTTTATTATGAATTTTTTTATGACTGATAACTGATAACAACCCCTCTCCTTAATCTTAACAGTAGCAACCCCTCTAATCATGTTAACAGTAGCAATGCACTACTTACTTCTGTTTATGAAATCACTTATATTGTAGTGATCGTAGAAATTAGCGAAATACTCCACAGACTGAAACAAAATTAAAATCTTTCTTTCAAACTGTCGTTTTCTTTCAAACTGTCGTAAAATCTTTCTTTCAAACTGTCATACATTTTTTCTTTCAAACTCTCGTAAAATCTTTCTTTCAAACTGTCATACATTTTTTTTTCAAACTGTCGTAAAATCTTTCTTTCAAACTGTCGTAAAATCTTTCTTTCAAACTGTCGTAAAATTTCTTTCAAACTGTCGTATATCAGTGAACGAACTTACTCCATAGAACGTACTCTCACAGAAACATTCGATAACCGAGGCAATATTGTAATTCGATTATTCCTATACTATGGTACACAAAATAAAGCATTTAAAATACAATACAGACAAACAAGTTTTGGTTTTATTCCTATGTTTGCCATTTTATTATGTCGCCTAATGAAAAGCTGAGCATCAATTTACATTCTAAAGCTCATAAAATCAAATTGCAATCCATGTGTTCAAACAAAACCAATGTGAAAAATTGGAATACATACCGCCGGTGCTGAAATAAAGTTTAAAAAAGTTTTCAACTCTAGTGCGATTGAACTTTGATAATGATTTGTAATTTAAATATGAGGTAAATGTGAAGTAAATGATATTGTATTGTAGTGCTGTGTATCGTATAATGTCCAGAGTTTCTTTCAGACTTCTCGTGTTGGGCATCGCCCTCTCCAGAGCACGTCTACCGCCCTACCCCACGGATATAATAGAAAACAATAATGTTCACATAGAAAATGTAAAGCTTTAAAAAGTGCCCAATAGTTTAAAATGCAACATTCCCGGAAGTTTCATGCCACGCCCCACCACACACACACACCGTAGAAGGGAAAATGTCTGAAAGAAACCTTGAAAGTGTTGTCGTGTTATGTTCTGTATGGGAAGCGAGATTGTATTCAGTTTATTTTTTTCGAAAGGATAAAAAATAAGCAAAAAAAGGTTATAAGAATATTGCATTTATTCAATATTTATTCAACATTTATAAGTATTATCATATTTTTTACGAGCATCAAATATTTTGTACTGCTAAAAATAATTGTCATAATTACCTTCCTGTTTGCGGTTGTACGTGTCGCAGAATTTTAAGATGGTCGCTTGGTTGGTACAGCTGCCATTGACCTTCCCTTTACCCTTGCCTTTACCTGACTGTCTCACGGGACGAGAAAGTAGTTTGGCCACTTCTGACTCTGGCCTTTTGGCCAATTCCCCAACAGATTCTGACCTTTTGGCCACTTCCCTAAAAGACTCTGACAATTTGGCCACCTCTAAGAAGTTCGCAGGTTTCCTGACTAGCTGAGAATTATCCAGGACTGTATGGGAGTATTGTGACGTGTGTGTACCATTGTGATTAAGACTTTGTGTTCTTGTATCTGTAAGCACTAGATGTTTCTCTTGTGGGCGGCGCTGTTGAGAAACAAAGTTAATTAGCTTTAATAAAAAAAAAACTATTTGACTTCAAATGAAAAAAATACTAAATTAATGTTTTAAAAGTTAGTTAGTTTTAATAAAAATAACTAATTGAGCTGAGAAAACACAAAAATTAGTTTACAAAATAGCTGGAGTAAAAAAAAAAACGAGTCTAGAATTGTGAACATTAAAAACAGTTTTTCATAATGTATAGAAAATATGTATTTCTATAGCAATACCTCTTCAAAGTAGATTTGGTCTAGTGATATAATAGTGATTGGTAAGCTAATAGGTTAAAATTCCGCGCATATGGAATTTAAAACAATTCTTAGACTTTTTGAGGTTGTTAAGGCTAGTGCAACGCCTAGCCAAAACGGTTCTTTAAATATGAAAACTACAGGAACTTTGTGGTGATAAAGTTTGATAGGGAAAAAAACAATACTTTAAAGAGGTATTTTAGCTAAGTGTAGGGTACAATTTGGCGCCTTTTTAAGTAGGACAAGAGGCAAAGTAACTGGGCAATACAAGTGGTAAATACTTCGTGGCAAACCTATAAGGAAATATATAGAGGCAACGCAAAGCTCTCGAACTAGGATACACATCTCGACAACTCAACTGAACAATTTAACCCGACAACCCGAACACTCAACTTACCAACACAACCCGACAACCCAACTGACCAACACAACCCAACTGACCAACACAACACGACAACCCAACTGAGAAACACAACCCGCCAACCCAATGACCAACACAACCCGACAACCCAACTGACCAACACAACCCAACAACCCAACTAACCAACTCAACCCAATCAACACAACCCGACAATCCAACCAACACAACCCAACAACCCAACTAACCAACTCAACCCGCCAACCCAACCAACACAACCCGACAACCCAACTGACCAACACAACCCGAAAACCCAACTGAAAAACACGACCCGACAACCCAACTGACCAACACAACCCGACAACCCAAATGACCAACACAACCCACCAACCCAACGACCAACACAACCCGCCAACCCAATGACCAACACAACCCGACAACCCAATGACCAACACAACCCGCCAACCTAATGACCAACACAACCCGCCAACCCAATGACCAACACAACCCGACAACCCAACTGACCAACACAACCCCCCCCCAACCCAATGACCAACACAACCCGACAACCCAACTACCAACACAACCCGCCAACCCAACGACCAACACAACCCGCCAACCCAACTGAGAAACACAACCCGCCAACCCAATGACCAACACAACCCGACAACCCAACTGACCAACACAACCCAACAACCCAACTAACCAACTCAACCCAATCAACACAACCCGACAATCCAACCAACACAACCCAACAACCCAACTAACCAACTCAACCCAACCAACACAACCCGACAACCCAACCAACACAACCCGACAACCCAACTGACCAACACAACCCGACAACCCAACCAACACAACCCGACAACCCAACTGACCAACACAACCCGACAACCCAACTGACCAACACAACCCGAAAACCCAACTGAGAAACACGACCCGACAACCCAAATGACCAACACAACCCGCCAACCCAATGACCAACACAACCCGCCAACCCAATGACCAACACAACCCGACAACCCAATGACCAACACAACCCGCCAACCCAATGACCAACACAACCCGACAACCCAATGACCAACACAACCCGACAACCCAACTGACCAACACAACCCGACAACCCAATGACCAACACAACCCGACAACCCAATGACCAACACAACCCGCCAACCCAATGACCAACACAACCCGACAACCCAATGACCAACACATCCCGACAACCCAACTGACCAACACAACCCGACAACCCAATGACCAACACAACCCGACAACCCAATGACCAACACAAACCGCCAACCCGACTGACCTGACAATGCTGCTGTATATCCAGAACCTTCTGCTGCAGCCTGTTGACTGACATCATCAGACAAATCACCATGGCAACCAGACAAACAACCAGTGATGCCAACACCAGCACTACCCAGCTCCACGTGTGGACGAATGACCGGTCTCTTCTCTTGTCTGTCTGTCTTCTCTGCCGGTCTGTCTGTCTAGCTGTTTGGCCTGTCAGATTCCTTTGACACATCGAGCAAATTCTATGTTGGACACCATTTACAGCGTTGGGACTAAACTCTCCGTTAGAAACCAAACATACATCTCTAAACAAACTTTGTTCATGAGATGTAGTGCCAGTGGGGTTCGATCCAGGTACCATTCTAGTCAAGTCCCTGAAGGAGTTTTGACAATCTATCAACTTTGGGTCCATTGCTATATTTTTTTGCGCTACCCACAAATCAAAACGAGGTTAGCTTTTGAATCACGAGCACTTGGGTATAACGGGAGACGGGTGGCGTAGCAAGGATCCAGATACGGCCTACATACTTTCTGGAATTAGAAAATATTGTATTGATATTTCTACACAAGTTGCAGATTAAACAAGTATAATATTTATTCACATGTATAAATAGGCTTACATACTGATAAATACTCAACATACACCTATTCATACACCTATACATACATATATACATACATACATATATATATATATATATATATATATATATATATATATATATATATATATATATATATATATATATATATATATAAACATATAAATATACATATATTATGTGTATATATTCACATATATCTGTACATAGTTACACAAACATATTATATATATATATATATATATATATATATATATATATATATATATATATATATATATATATATATACAAATAAATACTTATTTGTTAATTATTCTAAAAAAGTAAGATTACAATCATAATAAAAAATTAAAGCGAGTTTAACTTAAATGTACTTGTTTTTACGTAAACTGTTCAAGTACTCATAAGCAGGGGGCATAACCGTCTTTTTAAATTGTGGAGCTTGTACGATTTGAGTTATATAGCAATACTATGCTTTGTTTTTAAATTTGAATTACAATGCTCAAGTAACGCAGAAATCACTGTACATTGCTAAGCATACTAAAATTGTAATATGATGATACAAAATATTTCCTTTTTGAAAAAGTAAAATCTAGATTACATTATCGCCCCTACATTTAAGTAAGTGTAAGAACCAATTTCCGATGTAAACGAAGCAAAATTTTTTTTTTAAATCCGTCAAGTCTTGCTATGATGTAAATACGGCGAAATACTTATTTGAATCTAAATAAAGTCTATTTATATTGTAAAAACAGCGAAACACATTGTTAAATTTAAATATTAAGTCTAGATCTATGTATAATGTAAAAACAGCGAAATAAATTGTTGTATCTAAATCAAGTCTGGCTATAATGTAAAAACAGCGAAATAAATCTTAGAATATAAATCAAGTCTAGTTATAAAAACACCGAAATAATTTTTAGAATCTAAATGCAAACTAGGTATATTATAAAGACGCGAAATAAAGTTTTGAATGTAAATAAAGTATAGCTATACTGTAAAAACAGCGAAATAAATTTTAGAATCTAAATAAAGTCTAATTAATATTTTTTTCAAGATGTATTTAAAAAAGAAAGAACTTACCGTACGACTGCCAGCTGATCTGTTGCGTGGCTCCACCTGTCCACATTCTACTCCACACCAACTGGTGGCACTTAGCCAGACCGTAACCACATACACATACACACACGTGTACACAAACACATACACACAGGTGACTGCTTGATAAACTCTTGCACCTGGTCTGTTGATCGCTGGGCTAAATATAGATCTCACGTGACCGTGATATTCGAGCCCAAATGAAAACAGTCAACCCGGAAATCGTGTAGGACTACTTACAAGGTTTACAGAAGGGCTCTGTTTCTTTAGAACTGTGTTTGAAGCGAGGAACTGTCCTATATCTTTATGGTACAATGTTTTTATCTACAGCTTTTATTATGGTCCAATGCTTTTATCTCCAGGTTTTTTATGGTCCAATGGTCGTAGCTCCAGCTTTCATCGTTTTATGGCGTATTCACGTTACGTTCAATGCGGTACATGGACATAAAACTGGGGGTTTAGAGTAGTTCAATGCGGTACATGGACATAAAACTGGGGGTTTAGAGTAGTTTTTGTCTAGGGGTCACGTTCACTTTCCTACCCATCTCCAAACGTGACAGGTGTTTCTGTATTTTGACGGATTAAGTAATCTGGGGCTAGGCGAACCCCACACTTTGATGTGTGCCCTACATTTTTATGTGTGGCTTGGGTGTACCCCACACTTTATGTGGGGGCTAGGTTATAGCCCACACTTTTATGTGGGGTTAGGGTGTACCCTACATTTTTATGTGGGGCTAGGTGTACCCCACACTTTTATGTGGGGCTTGGGTGTACCCCATACTTTTATGTGGGGCTTGGGTGTACCCCACACTTTTATGTGGAGCTTGGGTGTACCCCACAGTTTTATGTGGGACCTGGGTGTACCCACATCTTTAATGCATAGCCTAAGTGTACCTACACTGTTATGTAGGGTTGGGTGTGGTCCACCACTAATTATTAAGAGAAAAATCAAAATATTGTTAAATGTTGGTTAGCTGTACAATATAGTCACGTTGTTCAAACCTAAAACGTACTCTTCATTTTTAGCACTGCGGGAATGGCGCGGTTTATCGAAAGAACGATCGCTAACCTAAAAGTCAGGAGTTCGGAACCCTGATCTAAGTGCCTATCATATCTAAAGCAGGTGATTGGATGCACTAGGGAGGATTAACCGAAGTAGGTAATAGGGCTTGTAAGTAGGTCACAACTTCTCGTTCTCGTACTTGCCAGCGAGTAGATTTCGAGACCGTAGACTTACAAGCCCTATACAGTGCACTTGGGAGGATAAAAAAAACCAACGGGTCTAGAGGATGGTGACGAGGTTGGAGGAAATGCTCGATACTTTTTGCCGAAATTTTATGTGAAATTGATGGTAATAGGAGTCTTTCAAAACGTATTGAGACAACTGTAACTATTGTAGCTATACAAATCATTTCAAGGACGTTCGTAAAATGTGTAAGTTCCGGTTACAGTAAAACACCCACACAAAAATATAACGCGAAAATTTGTCTCAGATTTGTAATTACATGCAATTTTTTTTTATAAGCACCAACTCGGATATGGTTATATGAACTTCCTGCTTTGAAGATTTTCGCGAAATGTGCGAGGTTTATTTCTTGTTGCGTGAAGCAGGATATGTGTCGTCTGTATGGGGGTCTAACAACTGCACTTGACGACTGACCTTGTCGACGTAACCGGATATCGTTTGGTGTTTTGTTTTGGACGAGGTAAGGGGATATAGGTCAAGCCGGTCATTGTCTTAAAAGGTTTTCTTAAAAAATGATTGGATAATTAGTTCTATTAATAGCTTGGGTTAATGAGAAACGAGTTAGCTTCTTTACTTGAAGTGGTCGTGGGGTTTTCTTAGTGTACTGAATTAATTATAAACAATAAATGTTTTAAATTATAATTTTTCGTGAAAAATAAACGCCAATTAACGGATAATTTTCGTGAAATATTTTTTATAGAAGGAGTTTCGTGAAAAATTAAACGTAAAATAAAACTGCTTTTATTCTACTAATTTTTTAATAAATCTTGCGAAATATTATATATATATATATATATATATATATATATATATATATATATATATATATATATATATATATATATATATATATATATATATATATTATAATAATGATTTTTGTGAAAATTTAAGGTCAAATGTTGATTTTTAATAATGATTTTCGTGAAAGTTTATTAAGGTTAAATATTTTGTTTAGTATTTTTTGGAAACAAGGTGTCTTATAGTTAAGTTATAGATCTACTACAAGCTGAGACCACTGATACAAACACATGAGCAATACATTCCACGAAGAGGGGTATGGAAGGCTGTTGGTACAAATTGCTGTCAGCAAATTAATTAATTAATTAGGGTTTGGTAGAGTGGTTTTACAAATAATTGTCTAATTATTGCTATAATTGCTAGCCTTAACTAGCACCAGAATGTTTTAAACATTTAAAAGTTATTTATAAAGTTTGACAATTGTGCCGCTTAAATTATATTAGTAATACTAATATTTAAATAAATGAAAGAATCTGTTTTACTTATTTTCAAGCCAAGTTTCGTTTTCGAACCTGAGGTTCCATAAAGCGGAGTTCACCTGTTGAAGTGACCTATGCAATCACATCAATACTATTACTCCTGAAAAAATATTTTCTATGTTTGTTGTTAAATATAATAAACGACTGTTGTTAAACTAAAAGATAAACTTTTTGTTCACAGGGAATATGTAAACAAGTACAGAGATATAATTCGTTCCCTTTAAAAGTTTATCTAGTAAAAATTTTATCACAAGTGTTACTGTAAATCTTATCAATTGAAGTTAAAAAAACTTTTTAAATGACAGTTTGTAAATATAAACAGACACTAAATTTTAATATAACACAAATGACTCAAAAAAATGAGTATTTTTATTCAAATTTTAATCAATCAAATAAAACAAAAACAACGCGAAAATATGCAATAAACGTATGTACATATTTACACAACTTTGAAAATATTCTGTAATATTTGTTCGTTTAGCTAACATATGTACAGAAAAATGTATTAAAAAACAAACAACAAGGAACTGATAACAAAAGCACTTACACAAAACACATAATTAAATATCAGAAACTGAATTCATTTGAAAGGAAATAAACACAATAATAGTATCACAGGTTTTTCAGATATATATATATATATATATATATATATATATATATTTATATATATATATATATATAGCCAGTGGCGTAGCGAGGTCGGGTGTCACCCGGTGCGGCACCTAATGGTGTCACCCCCCCCCCCCCAGAGGCGTAGCGACCCTTCCCGGGGACAAACTTTCAAATTTTCGATTTGCACCCCCCCCCCCCCTCAAACTTTCGATTTGCCTCCCCCATCAAGTTTTTCTCTGTATATTTTGCTATTTTTTGCCTTGGTGTCACCCCCCTAAATGGTGTCACCCGGTGCGGTCCGCCCCCCCCCCTCGCTACGCCCCTGTATATAGCATCCCCAGAATCAGACTGTTTTAACTCCAGTTTTAAAAAATGTTCACAACAAAGCTTCAAAGGTTTGTAAACGCTAAAAATTCTATATTAATCACTTGGTAAAATGGAACAATGGAACATCTGTTTAGTTCTGTCATGATACTTTGGTGGCTTTAGAACTCAACTGTGTATTACTCTCGAAAAAAAAGAACAACCTAAAATTGGAGTTAAAACCATCTGTTCAGTAATAGACAAGTTTAAATTGTGTCATTTGACCAAACATCCTCAGGTTAGATTCAGTCTTAGCCACTCTCAGATTTCTTCTTGTTCTTATTGTTCCTTTCTTTCTTCCCCCTGGGTTTTTGTGGGTTGTGTGGTTGCAGCAATACCAGACTGAACTTTGACCTCCTGTGGGTCTCCAGCCTGACGGTCGTGTGGGGGTCAGAGGTCCTCAGCTGTAGCACGTCCCCCGTCTTGAGTTCAAGGACACCTGATAACCCGCGTGCAATAGCATGCCGTGAGTTTGTCATTTCTAATAATTTGTTTTTGTCAACAAGCACTGTATAATTGTATGACTGTGTAATGTTCTGCCTTTTGATTGTATGACTGAATTGTTATAAGAATATTTAATAATCTGCTTGTATGATTGTGGGATTATAGTGATGTTTAGTATTATAATTGTATGATTGATTGCTATGTTGTATGATATAGAAATGTTTTATTGATTGTGTGATTGTTTGAGAGCATTACTGTACATTACTATGAATGTTCGTTTTTATGCTTGTTTGATTGTTTAAATGCAGGATTTATGATTATAATTGTTTTTGTAGTTTTATTGCATGGTTATACGATTATAAAATTGTTAATGGTATAATTATACGAAAGTTTAAATATAGCATTCTACACATGATGATGTAGTAGGTTGTGTTGTTTCACGTGTATATGTCAAACTTGTTTCATACTTGCGTCATACTTTTGTCATTCTTGTATAATACTTGTGTCATACTTTTGTCTTACGTGTGTCATACTTGTTTGTGTGTGTGTATGTGTGTGTGTCTGTGTATGTGTCTCTGTATGTTTGCCTGTGTGCGTCTGT